GAAAAATCTCATATCTGAACAATCAGTTGTATGGGAGCTATATGTTATAGTGGTCCGATTCTTCCGGTTCCGACAAATGATTAATACATTATAAAAATACACCCACCTACCAAATTTGATCCTGATATCTCGAAAACTGAGAGACTAGATTGCATACAAACAGACAGACAGACGGACAGACGGGTAGACGGACATGGTTAAATCAACTCAGCTCGACGTTCTGATCATATAAGTATACATTTTAATGGGCCTATCTCTTTTTGTTCTGGTACTTACAAACATCGGACCGAAGTTATAATACCATTTCATGCTCATGAAAGGTATAAAAACAAAAACAACAGAAGACCCTGGCTAAACAACCATCATCCATTTTACTAGGAGAAGAAATTTTTTCAGCTTCAGCGGTAGGTGTGCACCTGCATAACGGCAGCTATGCGCACTTGCCCCGCCGCTGCCCACATATTCGTAGACTGCAGGAGGAGCACAACACATCACAACTGTTGTAGATCCCGGGCCACAAAGGCGTAGAGGGCAACGAAGAGGCCAACTGACTAGCAAGGGAAGCAGCAGCTACCCAACCATAATCCTATCTCGCAGTGGGTCCTCCTACCATCATGGCCTGTGCTAAGACAGGCGAAAGAACTTTTTGGAAAGTTCCAACTACAAAAGATCTATGGAACTGGTTACCCTCCAGAAGACAGCTTCAGATTTACAACTGGTCTACTATGTACTCTAATTGGCTACGGCCTTGCAACAGCAATGTAGGAAACGAATAATATGATGGACAACAAATAATCATTTAACAAAAAAAAAAAAAAAAAAAAAAAAAAAAAAAAAAAAAAAAAAAAAAAAAAAAAAAAAAAATATGCTAATTCTAAAATAAATATCTAATTAGTTCTTAACATTGAATGATAATTCTTAAGAGTAAAAATATTGTACAAGTACATACATATATGATATTTGGGGCTTATATTTAAATTAACGCTAACTTAAGCTGATACTTTCTATAATCCATCCCAAATAGGAACTGACGCGCGTGTAAACTCCAGGTATATTAGACATTCCACATTTAGTTGGTCCAAAAGCTACAATACCCAATAAAGAGTGACGCCCACTTGAATTTATTAGACCGGAAGAGCCCTCATCCATAAACGGGCCACCACTGTCACCTGTGTTAAAACAAACACAGATAAATCGTTTTTTGGTTTTTTTAGAATAACAAAAATTGAATTTTACTTTAAATTTTTTACAACTAAGAAGGAAACAACCTATTAAATTTTTCTTATGAAATAAATCCTTTTATTATTATAAACAAATTATTTTAAAAACACAAACAAACAAAATTTGTTTATGGCAAAGTTTTTGCATTTAAATAAAAAATTCAGTTGCCTTCAAAACAAATTATATTATTTTCCATGATGAAATCAAAAGAAAAATTTTGTGTATTTATTTGTTTATATGTAGCAATATAAGCAAGTGTTTTGAAGTTAGTTTTAAGGATATTCAAAGAAACCCTACTTTTTATTTCAGACCACAGTGCATCACCATGTTTGGTATTTTTTTTCATCTGATGCTGAAGAAGATCGCTCCCAATGCTAGTAACATAAGAATAGGAAGGACTCCTCTACAATCGAGAGACCAAGTGGAGGAGGACTTGGCTTCAATTGGCGTCAATTGTCACCGAAAAAACGGCAATCAAGAAGAAGAAAACTTTGGGATCCGTACATACATAAATTTTCACTGAAATTGAGAATAGGCCTCGAGCTGCGCGATTTGGAATTCGTGAAAATACCCTAATGGACAATGATTAGGGACAAGAACCACTTTACATTAGTACCAGTTTTTATTTGTTTAATTTTGAATTGTGTCGTTATTGCACAGGACCATAGATATGTATATTGCCTTTATCTTGGCAAATCAGTATGCAAGTTTCGGTTTTATTTACTCTTGAAATATTTTAGTAATGCCCATCTTTTAAAATTTAATTTAGGTAATTTAATAATTCTCCAATTTACTCACCTCGGCAGACATCATTCATTGGCCCACCCTGCGCACATAACTGTGATGGTGTAATCACTATAGGATCATTGAAGTTCTCACTGAATGTCGCATAGGTGATAGCGCACTCAGTTGTATTCACTATTGGTAAGCTGAGGTAACGTACTCTTGGGCTACTTGTTTCATTGCCTGAAATGTTCCTTAGATATTTATATTCAACAAAATCGATATTTTTACGTCAAAAAATAGAAAAGAAAAAGAAAATTAATTATACAAATTAAAGCTAAATTAAACCCGATATCTATGCCTATTAATGACAATCAAGGCAACTTGACGTTCTCGCTCTAAACATATCCTAAAATAAGTGCACAAAAAAATTGAGTAAACCAAAGCAAAAAAAAGCACACCTTCAATATCCGCTGTCCAACCGAGTGCAATTCCCGTGCTGCCTATAAGCTGATCTCGTACAGAAGCAGACAGATTTGGAGGTAAGCAAATTGGTGTGTAGTCTATGCTCATAAAAGATATTAAAACCGTAATAAAATGTGAAGAGAACCGAAACTGTTCAACGTAGCAGCATACATACCATTCGCTTCGCCGACGATTTTTACCAATGCAATATCATTGGCGTACTTAGGTTGATCATAGCTGGGATGCACGCGCACTTCGGCGATTTGAAAAGTGCGTGAAGCGATGAAGCAGTTGCTAAAATTAGTGCTGGCCGTGCAATTAGTGGAAAGTGCCACACCACCGATGCGCACGTGAGAGCTGTTAAGGAAATATTTCAATTAGAATGGACTACATAAATTTTTCATACTCATACTCACATTCGCAGATCGTTCACTAGGTTAACGACGCAGTGTGCAGCTGTCAGGATGTGCGATTGACTTACAACGGAACCAGAACAACGATAGCTAATAAAATTATTTGCTGAAAAGAAGATAAGCTGTTAACTTGTACAGTTTAACTTCTCTATTCTAAAAGCCTGATTATGGCAACTTAACTTAACTTAACTTAACGGAACGTAGAACTTAGAGAATCAAAATTATACAGATTTCGACGTGGCATTAAGTTACGTTAAGTTTCGCTTGTTCAATTATAACTACGGTGACCATCCGTTCTGTTTTTTGCAGGACCGTACTGTTTTTCAAAGGTCGGTCCTGCGTAGTTTTTCAAACCTGAAAAACATGAAAATGTACTGTATTATCGGACAATGGATGGATTTTTTCAAAAAAGTGCTTTTTGGTACTTTTCGTAGCTTTTCTTCAATATCGCATGAAAAAAATCTCCCAATCAACGTAAGCGACTTACATCTGGAAGGGTATTGATATGCCTCTTACCAAAATATATAACTTCTGGCGACTTCAATGAAAATTATTAGTGCTACAGGCGACTATTTGCATTTTATTCGATAATTTTTTCCATTAGTTTAAAAATTCGATAAAGCAGATATATCATTACAGTAAATTTTGAGCCAAAGATTATGAAAATCGGATTAGAAATATAGATGCTATGCAGCGCAATCTGCACAAATTATATATTTTTGTAAATAACTGCGAAAAGTACCAAAAAACAAACTCAAAATTTGCCTATAAAATAATAGTTTAAAGATTTTATCTTTTACTATACTTTTATAAATATTCATGTAAAAAAAAATTAATATCGATGAAGAAAACGTGATTTATTTTTAAAGCTTAAAATGTATTAAGAATTTTGAATCATAAATACTCTTTTGATATTTTTATACTACGTAAATATATGTAGGCATATTTTTGAAAAATTGGCCCTCATTTTGAATCCATATTTATGGTCACCGTAATTATAGCACCCATTTAACAGAATTTTTAAGAGAGAGCCGTAAGTTACGTTTAGTTGCCATAATTAGACCATAACAGATTCTCAAAACTTAGCTCATCAGTGTTGTGATTTCTAGTGCACCGCAAAATGTGCCAAAAAAGTTCGATTTCAAGTGGTAGAAAAATACACAAAAACTTAAAATTTCTTGTTGTAGTGACATATTTGTTGCGGCGGCAAACTTTGAGGCTCAGTAGAAATCACAGCATTGATCACAGCTCATGTTAGAATACAGCTGTAAATGTAATCTCGAGCAATTTTTTTTTTAATTTGGTATTCACTTCACCTCACACAGTTTCAAAACAGTCGCATCCCTCTAGGAAAGGAAACATTACGATGTCATTAGTGGAAATCTTTTTCTCCTCACTGTCCATGGAATCTATGGGGAGGAAACTTTTTTCCAAAAAGTTCTCCAGTTAGCTTTACTTAAGAATTGTGAAAACATTGTTTCCATATAAGAAGCAATAAGGAAGCGATGCTTCCTGGTACTTTTTTTCCATAAGCAAAGAAGAGGAATGTTTCTACATTAAATTGAAAGTTTGCGTATTTTTCTTGAGGACTTTGACCCACCAACTGTCTATCTACAAACATCCATACATAAGTATACTTTTATATTTCTTATGGAAAATTTATTATTTCTTTCTTCAGCAGGAATACTGAAATCCCAGAGAGGTAATACCATGGATGAGAATGAACGCCCAATGGGTGCTGAAGGCGAAAAAGAAACCTTTATCTCGAAAATAACAAATTCCATTTCCTCTTTAACGGATAGAGATGGTCGATTTCAATTGAGCGAAAGCAAGTGGTCACTCTTCAAATGCACGCTCGTCTTCCTCTTTGGCGTAGTCTTGACCAAGAAGATGCAAAAGGTGGTCAATGAAATTATGTGAAGTTACCATGTATGCAAGCACTGAAATAAAATAAATTGCGTAAATAAAATATCCGCTCACTTTTGTTAATATAAGCTATTCGTGATATCCATGGATATACGCGTTCACCACTTGCAGCGTCGACTTCCGCTATGCCACAACGCGCTGTGTTGACTTTGGACTGTTCCGTTGGTGTGATGGACGGCTTCTTTGTTGTTGAGGTCGTTGTTGTTGTAGTAGTTGTCGTACTTGTGGTCGTTGTCGTTGTCGACGTCGGTCGCTGCATCGGAAACTTTAGTGGGCGATTTAAACGTCTATCGTCTGGATATACAATAGCGCCATCATTTAAGGGTCTAAAAATTATGCGAGGATATTCATCTTCATCGAAATGGTCATTATCGTGTATGCTAACATGTCCGTGTCCTTGATCGAGCTGGTGATGCGAAAAAGATTTATGCCCGCCAATGGGATGCCATTGCACATCCGTTATAGGCTTGAACTGTTTTTGCCTATCCTTACCACAATCGCGCTGTGCATTATCTTCATAATTTTTATGGAATTCAACAGATTCTTCATTGAAAGAATGTGGAAAATTTCGTTGCGTCTTTGGATCCTTAAAATCAAATATATCCGTTTCTTCGTACAAAATTTTTGATCTGCCTTTGGTTGATCTGCTATCCATTGAGCTGGCTGTCATCAACTTTTCTGTGAATGTATCAAAGCGTGTGGGCAATGGGGCACTGTCCCACACCCACGCGTCGGGATCTGTTCTAGCGAATGTATCGATTTCTGTTGCATGCACGCGCGTCGTTGCTTTGTGGTTAGCATAAGTGGCGGGGCAGCAGACAAGCGGCTCAAGACCGGCATAACCACAACCGGCACTCTGCACAATTTTGTAGATTATGTCTGCTTCCTGCGGCCTGTGATTCAAGAGCAAGTATGCGATTGGTTCGCACTCTTTCACGGGTATACAATTACATTTGGGCAAGTCAACGGGTAGGGCAATGGCATTGCTAACTGAAAGTGGTAAAACAAAAACAGAATGTGGAAATCTGCAAAACTTGGGTAAATAAGTATTACTAGGTATATGCGTTTGTCATTTCATGAAATCATTTCATGAAACGTAGCTAAAAATGCCTGCATAATCACAATTTCAAGCATTTGGTTCATGTATTTAGAATACTTTATTTGGAAAATTTATTAGACTCATTATCAGGGAGCGGATTTTATGAAACTATTTTTTTTTTGCTAAAGGGATAGAGTACATTCAATTAAGGATGTCCACGTATTAGCTTTCCCTGATTCCATATATGTATACACATTTGATTTTGCTTTTTTTAAGATATTTGCCTTTTTTCCTTTAAAAAAGTAATTGTAGCTAGGAAAAAGCCCTTATTCTTGATAATATAAACACTTCAAACGCTCCATATTTAAAACAGGCGCCTCATGTACATATCAACTCACTATCACTATATTTATATATAAGATAATAATAGATTGGATGTTAATGTTGGGCCGAGCTTCTCCTCCGTTTTGTGGTATGCGCCTTGATGTTGTCACACAAAGAGGAAGGACCTACCGTTTTACGCCGACGCTGAATGGCGATTGTATTTTTATGATAAGCTTGACCGAAAAAAAGTTTTGGTAAGAATAATTTACAAAAATAAATCCTTATGAGTTATTAAATAATAATTTAAAACTTTCTTATTTTAAATTACAGGATTTGACCAGCGTGAAGCAAAATTAGCAGGCCCAGCTTGGAAGTAAGGCAGGAACATCTTCATGTAAGTATTATCTATTTTTGACAACGTATTTATATACCAAATGACTTGTTGTGATTTAATAAAGACAAATTTGAATATCATATTTTTAAAATGATGAAAAACCATGTTAGGATTTAATTTCAACATGCGCATATTCAATTAACAAACGATCATTTTTAAAAACGATATGAAAATGTGCATATCAAAAACCAAAACATGGATTTTGGAAATTTAATTGAAAGTTTTCGTTCTCAAAATTTAAATAAATATTGTAGGTGCAAAACCTGGGCCAAAACGTTTTTAAAAGTAAAACGTTCCATACAAATTTGAAAACGAAAATTTATGTGTCATAAAAATATATTTTAATCTGAATAAAATTTAAAAATGCTTGTGGTAAGGATTTTTCGATGTCCCGAGTGATGCTAAACGGCTTCCGATGAATGAACTGGTGAATTACTAATCACTACTCCCATGCAGTTCCTTCGAAGAAATTCTTTTTACCCTAGTGAAAGAATTATATGTGCAATATGTTTTTCTTCGATTTCTCTTTGTTAAATAAGGGTAAAATATTTGTGATGAGCAATTATAATAGTCTTTAGTTTAAAATCATTTTTCCGTACAATTGGTTGGTATTCCGGTATAATTTTAACTATCGTTATAAAAATCAATAGCACATTCAATGGTAAATAATTATATGTCCATAAGGAGTAAGTCGACATCCGATTGCTGCAAATGTCATAAATTCTCCCGAGCCCGCAAAGATAATGGGAAAAAATTTTCAAGGCATGTAATCTTGTTAAGAGTAGATAATACAAATCTTCTGGGGAATTCAAGCCCTGATTTTAAACTAGACACTTAAAAAGTGGGGTTGTCTTTCCTTGAATAAAAGAAAAAGTCCAAATATCTTTTATCGAATTTCGAACAAAATTAATCAGAACGATGTACGAGGAATGTGTATACTTCTGCGTATTCATTTTTTTTTTTCAAAGTAAAAAGATTTTATATATTTTCCAAAGCTATACTTATGTACATAAGGGATCCCTTTCGCCAAAGGTAGGTTTTCCGTGGAAAAATAAGAACACTAGTTCATCACTCAAAATATCGTTTTTCAATACTTTGAGGTTTATATAGGTAGTGGTCCTAGTGGTAGAGTATGGAAATCATAGTCTATAGATTTCTTGAAAGTAATTTCTTTTTATATTCTGATGTCTGCTTACTTTATCAATTAATTAGCTACCCGTCATGCCACAAAAATTCTTTACCATCATCTTTCCGGTCTCTTCTTTAGATAGTTCAATGCCACCGGATATTATGGGCTGTGACATAATATGGAAAAATAACAATACGTTCACGCACGCTTTTAATGGATTTTTCCATATTCACCAGGTGCAGTCTTTTTTGAAACTCGCGCTTTCTCAGGGGTCTATAATGTTAAAAAGCCAATTCAACAAATTTTGGTCGCTCTTTCTTGATTTCTTCGTTCAAATCCGAACTCATCATTTCGCCACATTGTCCGTAATGGACAATCCCACCAAAGACTCAATATAAATTGGTTGCTGTCGATCAAGGCTTTGGGGTCGTTTGCAGATGGTCATCGATCTTTTACCATGATCGCTTGCATTGCTTATTCTCGTATTCGGTATATTTTTCAAAGTCCCTAATGACTCGCTTCAAAAATGGTTCGATTTTATTGCGATTCAACAGCGTTTCACCGATGGTCAGTCAAATTTTCATTCTTTCAGTAGCCTTTTTATGTGATTATAAACTGTCATGTGAATGATGTTTGATGTCTCCGCTATCTCCTGACAGCTTACATACCGGTCTCGATCAACCATTTACATTATTTAATCGACTTTTGCAGTGACTGGCCGACCAGAGCGAGAGGCGTTTTTGACACAAAATAAATTCCGCAGCGGAATTGAGCAAACCGCCGTTCACTAACAGCGCTCCCATTTTACACTACACGAATTTTTCGGCATGTTTTTGCGGCATGTACAATCATCAAAAAAATTGGAATTTCCCCAGATATTTCACTCATTTTCAAATGTTACCTTTCAAAGGCACGTCGTTGTGATGCAATTAGATTAGTGTTGCCAGATGTATGTATAAACATGACATCTGGACAAAAATCCGCGAATACTTTTCATATGACCCCATACTTTCAGTTAAATTTTTTTAGAGTATCTGAACTAGCATGTGGCTAATATGAAATTTTATGCCACTTTTCTCACATATTTACATAAATATTAATTGCTGATTAGCGATAATTAATTCAATAGTACATACATTAAGGTGCACGCGAATTTACATTTCGCACACGTTCTTCAGAAATATGTACATACATACATATATCAAAACAGAGTTCGTACATATATTATGCACTAAAAATGTTCACAGATTATTCATCAATTTACCTTCCAGCAAATGCCAAATGCTGAGGCAAAAGAAGAAGAAACCTATTTAAAGAAGAGCCTCCCTTCTCCATACGCCTAATATGAGCTCAATTTCAAATAAATAATAATAATTATGAAGAACATGTGCGGTAACATACAACACTCATTTGCTATGTGACTATCAAGTTCGTGCCCAAAGTCTTTTGTTTTCTTGCGCTGATATACGCTGTACCGGCACATTTCATTCGCATTGCGTCACAACCAAGGGCAACGAGCCTGTGTGCAGGTTTAATTGCCATGCAGACATGTAAGATATGCAAAAACATACCCACATACATACATACATATGTATGTATAAATGCTCTGGCATCTGCATATGGAACTCGTTAAGCACATGTTCGCCAAACTACTTCGTGATTACATGGCTATGCATTTAAGTAGGTACATACATATGCACATATATTCATACATACATATTTCTACTTCGATTACTATGAAATCGGAATTAGTGCAGCTTCAAAAGCAACCACTGAATGGGTTTGTGGGTTTTTTTGTTGGTTGGTTTCTTAAAACAACACAAACGACATGTGTCACTCGCCCTTGTCGCTTAAGAGATATGTATTTAAACTTTAAGTATTCTATGGTAAATCCCAATGCGGAAATATTTGAAAAAGTCGCTTAAGAAATTTTTTGAAAAGAGTTGTGTTCTTTTGTTATTTGCAAGATAGAATGCAACAGATTTAGTTGTCTTTAAAAACAATAGCATGTACATATATTAGCATAAGCGAAGAAATTTTTTGGATTACAGAAAATATATATATTTTTTTTGTGAATTATTTCAATTCAATTATAAACTTAATTAGATAAGAAACTGTTGCAGTTCCAATTATATCAATTAATTGGGTTGCATTTTTGATTTGTTGAAGTTAATAATTTTTATCACCTGGTTCGTTAAATTTGCAGTAGGAAGTACAAGCACATATGTAGCTATATTGACTTCAGTAGGATTTCATATTCATAGGCAGGTATGTATTTATGCCCACACCGATTTAATAAGGAACAACATTCCGAGATTGAATTTGGCAACATCATATCTTCATTTAAATAAATATGGTAGTTAACTACTTACGTTTATAAAATGTACACAAAATCAGCAAACAATTCCACCGATGCATTTTATGTTTTTATTATTATTTTTTTCTATTCTATTTTGCCCGTTTCTATTTATATATTCACTATTTGCCTTTTAGCTTTTTGTTTGGTTACAACCTTTTTGTTTTTTTTTTTTATCTACTTTTTTCTTCTTCAACGCACTTCAAATGAGATGCAGTTTATTTCATTTTTTATTAACTAAGTTTTATTTTATTTTTATTTGCTGCTCTGCTCTTGTATAATAAAAATATTTATTTTTGTGGTTTTATATATTACCAAACTCATTTCGTATGAACTGCCCAGCATCCCACAATCTTCTGTCAACCAACACGATTCACTTTCAACTCGATATTAAAACGGTTAAAAAAAAAATTAAGTTTATTTGAGAGCTTATCGTCAGGAAGCAAACAAAAGAAGAGCAAGAGCAGTGAAATACAAACAAAAAAAAAAACGATAAAATACGCTACGAAACAATAACACGTATCCAATGAATAAATTGTGTTACTCGCTTGCATGTATTGAACTAAAGAATAGCCCCGTTTCGTTTAACCTTAACAGCTGACTGGCGAAACCGGAGCAGTAAATCTGTGCATCACAAGCATAGAAAAGGTGGCGCCGCGGCACACAGTGTGTTCGAAATGAAAGTCTGTTAATAAAAATCAATTTGGCGCATTCGTTCAATAAGTATGTACGAGTACACACTAGTACATTCATACATCTGTTTTATATATCGAAGTACAGTGTACGGCGATAATTCAAACTCCGTTAATTCGTCAACCTCAATAATTCGTAACAATGCATTGGTCCCTTGAAAAAATCGCGTTAATTCACTAAACGCCCATAGATTTTATTTTGCTCCTCTTATTAAGTGGTTTTTTTTTCTTTTGTTTGACAATGCAAGTTTGTTCCAGCTTTTATAAATNTGTAACAATGCATTGGTCCCTTGAAAAAATCGCGTTAATTCACTAAACGCCCATAGATTTTATTTTGCTCCTCTTATTAAGTGGTTTTTTTTTTCTTTTGTTTGACAATGCAAGTTTGTTCCAGCTTTTATAAATCGTAGTTGGTTGTTGACAACCTCTTGTAATTCCTAATGCAAAGCAAAATTCTGCGCAGTTGAACTTTGAAAAATAAAACATATTTAGTAGGCGTTTATATATAGTATAGCGTTTATGTCTAGCATTAACTATATTTCCCGATCGAAATCTGGAGCCAGAAGGCCTAAATTAAGTTAGTTCAACTATCAAAAACGTCTGACTATCATATCCGCTCACATCGATAATTCCCGCGAAGATTGGTCTCTGCAAATAGACTGATGGTATAGCACTCAGCCTAAAAAGGTTCACAGGTCCACCGAAAGTTTCAGTCTGTCATATGCTCCTGCTACAATACCCGCAGGAGTCTAAGAGCCGTTGTAGCTGTTGCTATTGTTGTTGTTGTTGTAACAGTTCACAAATTCTCCAAAAATAGTTTTTGGGGAGTGTTCCTTGAGTGAAAGTGCTTGACCAGATATAAATCTGGGTCGTTCCGATTATGTGGACCCCACTGTCGTGGAAACGGTCTTAGAGCCATCTGGGTGCCTAGCTTGTCCCTGTGCCTTGATGATAAGTCCTTATCTTTGCCCTCTTTCGCGAAATTTAGTAGAGTTCGCTTTGAAGCCCTTTCAACTGTAAAAACCTCCTGCGCTGCCGTCGGGCATGTGCGCATTGCTCCTGTACTGCTAGCAAACGCAAGACTTTGAATCTTGGTGAGGGTATTCCTCACCGTTACTAGAGTAACCCTGGAAGCCATCTCATGCGTTATCACAAAGGACCCTGAGTCTAATTGAGTCCACTTAGGACTGCCATCTATCCTGGAAACCGAAGCCAATGCCCCCTAGGCTACTATTTGTTGGTGGTACTATCATAGTGTGCATGCATATCGGAACATGGATATGCCCACTAGACGAAAATGAATTCTCCACAGGACTTTGGAATCCAGGATAAGTCCCAAATACTTCGCTTCTGTTCGTCTTGAGAGCTTCTTTTTTTGGTGAAGGGGACGATAGCTGTCTTTAAAGATACATCCGTGCCCCATCTTTGTGCTAGGTTAAGTCCTCTTTGGACGAATTCGCAGAGGGTACTTGCGGAGCAGAGGAGATAACACCAATCCATGCGGGCACCCTCAAGTCCCTTGCTGACAGCATTTACTGTTGTTGTTATTGTACTCGTGACAGTCGATGATGAACTATGTAGCGCCAGTATGGACGACAGAAGCCATCCCAACAACGTAACACGTGAAAGGCCATAGTGCAAGCTAGATATGTGGGGTTACACATACTTAACAGATATGTCTTGGCTGAACTCATATGAGTATACATCTGTACATTGACGTCGTTCGCTTTGTGTTGTCGCTTTCTCCCCGTCTGGCTCGCTGAGTCGGAAGATGAGGAGACTTTCTGTGGTTCTTGTTGTTTTTGTAACAGCATATGTATAAATTCGCCAAAAGGGTTTGAGGAATGATGCTGGAGTGACAGTTCTTGGCCAAATATAAATCTGGAGCGTTCCGGTTACGTAGACCCGACAGTCGTTTAGGTCGAGCACTATGCTGCTACGATAACAATATGTAATCCCAAATTTTGTTCTGAAAAACTGTGTTTAATGGGCAGATAATTTTTTAAACCTACTTGAGAAAACAGCCTTCGTATTTTTTAACCGACTTCCAAAAAAGGAGGAGGTTATCTTTTTTTTTATGTTTGTATGTTACCGCAAACTTTAGACCACGTCAACCGATTTCGATAATTTTTGCATCGGAAATGTAGTGTCTCAGAGGTGGTTCCATACTAATCTGGCTAAGATCTGATCAGTNTTATGTATGTATGTTACCGCAAACTTTAGACCACGTCAACCGATTTCGATAATTTTTGCATCGGAAAGGTAGTGTCTCAGAGGTGGTTCCATACTAATCTGGCTAAGATCTGATCAGTGGATCATGGGGTATATATATAGATATTTTTTTTTTATATGAGAGTTGAAGTCGGTTTTTTTTGCTAAAAATTACTTGTTATTTTCCTTACACAATAACCTACAAAGTTTAACGATTTGAACATATCAAATACACTGTGCGTTGAAAGTTCGCAGCCGCAGTTTTAGTTGCACACTTAGTTACCCATTTATTTTTGCACATACATATGTACATACATACGCTGCTATTGAAAATCTAATTGAACTGCGAATGTGAAATGAGTACATATGTATGTATGTAGATAAGCCACTTGCGCCCCACAGTGACGTGCAAACTTTGTATGAGTAATGAAAAGGTCATTCCAAATTTATATTGCATTACGGGTATGTGGGGCAACAATTTTTGAATATAAAAACGTTGGGTGAGCCAAAAGCAATAAAAGAAGATCACTGTTTACAAGAGATTCTGCATACAATTAATTTTCATTTTATTAAGTTTACTTATAAAATAAAAATACACAATTAAATCAAAGTTTTTTTAGATCTATGGTTAATAATGGAAATGTTAACTTTCCAATAAATGCAAGTGGAATGCTGTTGTTCACAAAAACTTTATAAAAAATATTTCGAAACACTTGTATTAAATACAAATTTGTGACGTTAATTTTATACTAATAAAATATATTTAAAGCATCGAGTGTGCGGCAGAAACTTAGATTTTTCGACTAATTTTTATGCAATGGTAAATAAACATGAATCTGTGTTTGTATGTAAGTATATGCATATAGATTTCTATGTATATATTTATTTCCTTATAAAAAATGTATCTTTTCTGGTATGCTTCGCCTTTTCAGTAACGGTAATTGATGCACTATTGAGGAATAATCCAAGTCATTAGCCCATTTATAGATGCTATGCGTATAAATGTAGTTAATTAATTCTGGTTTACATGCTTGTTACTTGGCTACTTGCCACAATTATTAATTAGAAAGACAAATGCAGCTTATAATATGTAGGTATGTATGTATGTTTTACNTTGTTCGTGCTTGTTACTTGGCTACTTGCCACAATTATTAAGTAGAAAGACAAATGCAGCTTATAATATGTAGGTATGTATGTATGTTTTACATATATTTTTTTAACTTATCCACGTTAGATTGGAATCTTTATGCGACAGTGGCAGTCGTGTTTGGGCTACAATCAGCCAATACACTATTTTCTTCGAATATGCTTTGTGCTTGCATTAGATCTTGATCAGCAGGTTCCAAGCGCAGTTGTGTATCAATAAAAGAATTCACTGTGACAGCGGTAGAGTCTACTTCAGTAGTACTAATGTTTGTATTTGTTAGAGTGATATTGTCATCAACCGGTGTTTCATTGTTCAATGCTGCTACAATTTGGCTATCCAAGTTGGTAGCTTCCTCTGTTGTCTCTGAAAGTTCGTCAGTGACACCAAAAGACGTTGAATTTCCCTCGTCGCCCACCTCAGGTTCAGTAGGTGCTTCTATATCTTCTCCGACACCGTTAAAACCATTCATTTCAATGTTCAATTGTTCGCCGCCATGTGACTTGATTTCGTTTACGATCTTCTCCCCTACTTTCGAATCCATTTCTGTAATTTTCTCTTGTAGTTTCAACTTTAGTTCTAAAGGCCATTTTTTATTCCATTCTCGGAAAAGTTTTATCTGCATAAGAAAATATGAGTTATTTTAAGAAAGAGCAGGAATTTACTTATATATATGTACATATTAACAAATTAAAATAATACTTTTTAAAGTGGTAAAATTTAAAAGCTAATTTTTAGCTCTCAAAAAGAATTTGCATTTTTGGCCCGGTTAAAACAAATCGAGCAAGTGGTATTTGGCACAATAAACACATTACTTACCCTGCATTGAAATAAGCTCATTGGCTTATCTTGGATACCCGCATGTGCCACTGAGTTCACCATCCCGTTCATATAGACTTGACCAGCACCAGCTTCTCCTTGCAGCAGATACTCCACCAACACCGGCACAAAATCATCACGCTGCAATTCACTCCACTCGTTAAACCACTGTATGATGTAACGGAACTCGCCATCAATTGATAAATTGTTCATACCCATTTTTTTGTCTAACAACCAAAATTTGTAGTAAAGTTACGGTAGCACAAATATTAATCTCTGCTCCTACTGATTTGCTACCAATTGATTCAATTAGCTAGATTCTTCTAATGTATTTACTTTTATGTAAGTTTGCTGCTGGCTCCGTTAGTGCATTGCAATCAACTGATTTTTTATTATTTCACTTTTCATTAAAAACAGCTTTAAGCTATGCGTTTTTTTTTTATGCCAAGCCGTTCACTTCACTGAACAAATGCAAATGCTAGAGTCTAGCAAGGTGTTTTCTTCGACGCCTCTCATTTCAACCCAGCTCACCTTTTCCGCACTTCTCTGCTGTGTGAACTCTGCGCTGCAATTTTCTTCCACGATCAACCCAAAGATGAAAAACTAGAATCTCTGAATTACCTACAAATAAGAGTACGTACATATGTACATGTTTGGTCGTTATGCAGCTGCAGTCCAGTGTTGGACAAATACACACGTACGAATATAAGCTGAAATGGTTACTGGACACTGGCAATTGGCTGATGTCTGACTTTAACAAATATTATTTTCTCGTTTGTTTGGTTTTTATTCTGCATTACTTGTTGTTGCATTAACAATTTTTATGAGGCTCCAAATGCATTTTACCTTTGTTGCTTTGTGCATGTACACTGCACTACCAGCCGCTTTCGCGCTGCTGTATCGACTTATTTTTGTGATTTTTCTATTTTACTGACATCCTAATCGGGTTGGAATCAATATGCACCCATGAACCAAAAATACAAGATAACATAAAAACGCGACGTTGTATCAAAGAACGTGAATTTACCTTCTTTGCCTTAACATTGTTTCCAAGATGTATCAAAATAAAAAAATGTTTATAACTTCAACTGTAAGCTCAGCATTGTTTCAAACATGTCCACACATGGGTAACATTGACCGTTTCATTGCGTGTTTGACACTTGTGTTTGTAACAATGTTCCTCGTGTATTCGCCGCTTTAATTCAGCATGACAACATGTTTTAAGCAGTTTAATGAATAATTTTACCTAAATTGTGGGGACATATTCTTCTAGGAGTCGGGGATGGAAAATTATATTTTGAAATTGTACCAAAGAAGGTCATCCACGTATCATGTAATACATTTACGTTCTTTGAATTCACATATTCTACGAATTCTTAAAAACGTAGATCCAGACTTACGAACGTCAATGGATTCACGTCTGATGCCAACTTTTGTCCATTGTGCATACTGACAAGTGAAAAAAGAATCAGATGTTTTCCCGAAATGCCTCACAGCTGAGATCACCTGATTCTATGTGCTACAGGGTTACACTCAATATATATAAACAAAAAAAAAAAACTTTAAACGGACTGACAAAACCAGCAAGAAAAGCTTTATTAAGTTTAGGAGTCATTGACGAAAATGCTTCAAAATATTAAACTGCAATGTAATCATAGGAATTCGTTTACTTCGATGCGTATTTTGCCAATTTTTAAGGTTAATTTAATACTTTAGTCCTTTTCAACATCCCTTTAAACACCCTGTCTAACATTTTGGCAGGTTATTTCTATGTATTTACAGGATATTTCTATGTATTTTCTAGGCGGTTTCCGGGCAGAAGAACATTTTTCACTTGTATCAAAGAACGTAAATGTACATTTACGTTCTTTGTCTCTACGAAAACTCTCATGTAAATTTACCAATATATTTCAAGACTTCTGGCACCCCTAGCAACATATGTCAAAAAATTTCCTCTACGAGACGAACACTTTTTTCATCTGAGAAATAAAGCAGGTAAATTGCGAAAAGTTTTAATAAATTTTATACAGGCAATGTTTAATCCAGTTTAACATTAAAATTAAATTTATTTACAAAACAGTACAGAAAAGGGAGAACGAGTTCTGCAAGTGAATTTGCAAATAACCTAATTGAAAATACAGCGCCAACGCATTCACTTGCACGAGTAGCAAGCCCCCACCATAAAGGAAGCGCAGCGTAGGACGGTGATAAAGGAATAAATTTGTAAAGAAAAGTTAAGGGAAAGTTATTTGAAATATGTCGGCGACAAAAGTAGAAGTGCAACAGAATAACGAGGACCCTAGTGGGGTGAGTAAAGAAGTCGTCAACGACACCGACTCAGCGTCAGCAACCCTCAACAATGCAATGAACGAGAATAATAATGCGGCGGAGAAGGCGACTAAAATGGATACGTCAACCACGACGCAAGAGGCGACCAACAATGGTGTAGATGAGCGTAAAGAATTAGCTGAAAATTACAAAAATCAGGGGAACGAACTGTTAAAAAGTAAGTCAAAACAAGATTTACACCTGCTGATAGGCTATTCACACGAGGAATGAATGATATGATATAGTCATTGTGTAAGAAATGTATTGCCCGGATTGTTTGTAAAATCGCTGCCCTTGCGTTTATTATGTACACGCGTGTGTCAAACTAAAGATGAAAGCGCGCACCCCTTAACCGTGCTTCAATCTAACCTTAAAGCATTCGATAGAAAAAGCAGACGACAAATAGGAAATCGTTGTTGGTATTATATGTATGTTGTTGCCGTTGGGTGTTAATTGATATCTGATAAAAGCGAATTTAGCTTTTGTAATAGTTGAGGGCCCGAAGATAAAGCAAACAGCTTGATTATTACTTTTTAATTGTAATATCTCATCACCTACTTGTAAATAAGAATATCTATTGATATATCCGTAAATTATAATATGTTTAATACACAATTTTCACTTAATACCCTAGTTTGTTATTAATTGAAGTACTTATGTACCTACATATGTTTAAGAAAATATACGAAAATGTTTAGGAACTTATAATTTTACCAATCACACTTTGTTTTCTCAGATAAGGAATTCACTAAATCAATCGAAATGTACACCAAAGCTATAGAATTATATCCGTGCGCTATTTACTATGCCAACCGTTCACTAGCTCATCTGCGGCAAGAGAGTTTTGGATTCGCGCTGCAGGATGGTATTGATTCTGTCAAAACCGATCCAACCTACCTGAAAGGGTACTATCGTCGTGCTGCTGCACACATGTCTTTAGGAAAATTTAAGCAAGCCTTATCCGATTTTGAATATGTAAGTTATATATAAATATATAATAAATACTTTAATGTATTAATAGTACGAGTACTTTGAAATTTACAGGTCTCAAAATGTCGTCCTAATGACAAAGATGCTAAACTCAAGTTTACGGAATGCAATAAAATAGTTAAAATGCGTGCTTTCGAACGTGCCATTGCAGTTGATACGCCCGAAAAAACGTTAGCGGAGATGTACAAGGAATTAGAAGATATAAGTAATTATGTTTAAATTAACATTTATTTAGTTTTTATAATAATGTATATTTTCAGCTATTGAAGATGCTTATACGGGGCCGGCCCTCAAAGATAATAAAGTAACATTGGAATTCATGTTAGAACTAATGGAGCATTATAAGAGCCAAAAAATATTGCATCGTAAATACGCCTATAAAGTATGTGCAAAATTCAAATATCGATTTAGATGTGAGCGGTTATTTTCCATTTATACATAATTATAATATATTTTAGATACTCTGCGATATCGATGAGTATATGCGTACTCAGCCTTCTCTGGTCGACATTAATGTGCCCGATGAATCTAAGTTTACAATTTGTGGTGATATTCACGGTCAGTTTTATGATCTTATGAATATATTTAAAATAAATGGCTTGCCGTCGCCCACGAATCCATACTTATTCAATGGCGATTTTGTTGATAGAGGCTCATTTTCTGTGGAGTGTATTTTTACACTATTTGGCTTTAAACTTTTATATCCGAATCACTTCTTTATGTCACGAGGTAACTATAAACTTCAACTGAATTTTGTTAATCGTTTACCAATTATAATAAAAATATTCATAGGCAATCATGAGAGCATTAATATGAACCAAATGTATGGCTTTACTGGTGAGGTGTCAGCTAAATATACATCCCGAATGGCTGATATGTTTACACGTGTATTCAATTGGTTGCCACTATGTCACTGCATTAACAAAAAAATTCTTGTTATGCATGGTGGTCTATTTTCAAGTGATAATGTCGTTTTGGAAGATTTGCGTCGCATCGATCGTAATTGCCAGCCACCAGAGGAGGGTCTCATGTGTGAGCTATTATGGTCCGATCCGCAGGCATGGCCTGGTCGTGGACCTTCAAAACGTGGTGTGGGCATACAATTTGGTCCCGATGTCACAAAAGCGTTTTGTAATCGCAATAATCTGGATTATGTTGTACGTAGCCATGAAGTCAAGGATATGGGTTATGAGGTCACACACGACGGTCAGTGTATTACTGTATTTTCAGCACCTAATTACTGGTAAGTTTTTACGAACTCCTTTTTTTCTAATCAAAGAATGAGATTTTCCCTTATGATAATTATTTAAGTCAGACTTCTTTAGCGGCGGTAGTTTTTATTTATTTATTTATTACGGTCATATGACCTACATATATATACACATAACCATATAAACAAATATTACAAAGTTCACATTTATACATTAAAAGTAAAGATCGCGTAATGTTAGTTTTCGTTTGCAGTTTTTTTTAATGGTAATTACAAAATGCCACCATAAAATACTTCCTTCGGCGGTTTTAGGTTAGATTAAAAAAGTTGGAAACTTTTTAGGCCTCTAATATTTCCGTTTCCCACTAAGGCCCGCCGTAGCTTATGAAAGTTGGCAGCACACTTTCCGAGAGCTTAAGAATAAGATACGTAAGATACAGCGACAGCAATTTCACCTCTGTAGTGTGGCCCAGACGCACTTATGTATTTTCTAATAATATCCTCAAGGCGATCTATACTTCAAAAACTACCCAGGTGTGCTTCAATGAAACATTAAAACATCTTCCTAAAAAAACTAAAGCTAGCGACCACACGAATTTATATGCTGTTACAACAACAACCATAAATTATGATATATGAAGACTGTTAGCGTTGTTACAGCAAAAACATTGATTTAAAGAGTTTTGGGTTCTGGTTTCCCAGACCCGACCCAAGTTCAATTTTCGTTTTTAGTTATTCCTATAAATTCCTTACATACCTAAATATACATACATAAATACTATATTGTCAAAGTATCATCTTTTGATTTTGCACTCTCTATTGCTTCTATTCGTATTAACATTGCATATTATGAAACTTCATTTGATTACAGTGATACAATGGGCAATATGGGTGCTTTCATAACAATAAAAGGCAATGATTTAAAACCAAATTTCCAATCGTTCGAGGCTGTGGTAAGTGCCCCTTTTTACTTTACTTGTATTTGTGCAAATTTCTATGTTTTTTTTTTTAAATTTATGGTATTTTTCCTTTTCATTGTAGCCTCACCCTGATGTCAAGCCAATGGCATATGCAAACAGCTTAATGAGCTTGCTTGCGTAGTCATATAGTTTAAGTTGACTTTGTATAGTACGTATACATAAAATGGGCAAGCGTTTGAGCAAGTATTGTATTATTCAACAAAAATCAACAATCGACAAAGAACACAGATATCAGCATGTCTTACGATTACTACCATGAAATGAAGTCAGAAATTTGTTAAGAAAAATTAAGGCTTTTGAAAGAGTTTGCAAATTTGTTTCAAAAACAATAATTGGTGCTTAGCATAGAACTCCAAAAATGATAATCTACTGATTACAATCAGCCCTAAAAAACCAGCAAAAAACAATGAAGATTCATTACTATTATTTGAACAGCATACCATAATTAACGTTTTAAAGTCATTGTATCCAAAATAGGCATTGTTTTAGCAAAGAAAAAAGCTACAATAAATATATATGTTAGTCTTACTTTTCTACACAGCTATTTGACCAACTGCTCAGAAAACAACATTTAATTCAATTACGTAAAATACACATTTATACAAATATACAAGATGTGGTTAATTCTGTTTTCATTTATTAAAGTCAAAGATACGTTTGTAAATGAAGAAGCAGTGTCATTGCACAACACTTGGAAGGTGTTGTGTGAAAATGCTTTTTTTTACAAAAATTGAACTGTTTACACATCACCAATTGTTTGCAATTTTTATTATCCTAACAAATACATATGCGTGTTAAGTCATCCTCAGTACGTTTTAGTTTTATTTAAATTTAAACACTTATACAATCATACAAATGTATAGAAATAGAGATTGAAAAAAGAAAACAAATAATTTGCTATGAAAAGATGCAAAAGTGTGGTTTTATTCATACATATAGATGCTAAAGCATACACTTAAAAAGTACTGGGCTATTTTATTTTAATATTTTAAAAATAAGTACAGAATTACTGCTCTTTGCTGCATGCATTGTATCTATTTTTCCTCTATTGAGTTTGGTGTAAGAAGTAAAAAGACATTGTATGCAAATAAAGCCGCCTAGTACATACATAGGTGCATGCACGTTGGAGAGTGTTTTAGCTTATCTTTTGATGAATATACATATACTTACGCTTGACTGCGTGGATGCCACTAACCACTAGTAATAGATACTTAATATGTATGAAAAGGCAGGAACGCATGTTGATATGCGTGAAACCGAATGAACAATGTATAGAGCAATTAAAACAAAAATATGTATCAAACTAAAATTTTTAATAAATAAAAATTCGAACAAGTTTATAAATAGATACTGTAATTTTATTTTTCTCATGCTGCAACAACATGGCTACACTTCTTTCTCGATGGCAGTTGCTACAAGATTTTTTTTTACTTTACAATGACTTGAAATGTTCCACAAAAACTGGATTTTCATAAACAGAATAAAACAAAATTTGTAGTCAAAAACAATCACTTCTAGACTTATTTTAATAATAAAAATTTCGGCCAATACCATTTCGAAATCTTCCAGTTTCTTATTTTACCAAAAGCGTTCGCCGATTAGGTTAAAAAAAGCTTTATTGCGAAGACAGTTTCTCGGATTACAGGAGTTGGAGTTGCATTGTGTGTTCTATGACTTATCATATTGCATTACATTGATTTGGAAAGTTGATACAACTGTCGACTAGGCCTTTGAAACTTTGCACGAGATGAGGTATTTGCAATGCAGCGCAAAATAACAATAATTATTATAAATACGTATATCCATATATGTAGTTGGTTTTGTTTTTAGTAATTCTAATGATTTGAATGCACCAACGTATTTCGAAGAACGAAGGTATTCGTCTAAGTATAAACATGTATACATATAGTATATCCGCTAATGGGTTTCTCTCTTCAAAGAACAAAATTCAACAGCATGCACCAGATCGATGACGAACGAGTCAGTGGATGTCAACCAGCACAACAGAATCGCGGCAGACAGCGTTTGAGCGCACCCTCACCTCGTTTTCCGCCCTCACCACGTCAGTATGAGGCACATGAGTTTGGTTTATGTGAAGATGAAGAGTTTCAACATCCACGCATGTTTGAAAATCTAACTTGTAAGTGTGCACAGCTAGCGTTTCAAATTGTAGGCACGTTGTTTACCATACCCCTCACTAGATGAAAAGAATGCTGATGCATTTGAAGCAATGCGCGCGGAAAACGCAAGACCACCCTATCAACAACAGCCCAGATTCAATGTCTCTGACCTCCCATCGGAGCAATTGGAAGATTTTTCGAGTCCACAATTTAGCGGTGCTTATGATGAAGAGGACTGTAATGAATGTTCAGAGCAACCACAAACACCGGATATTTGTGATATTTCTGCACCAGACTTTTGTGATGTATCTGACGCCTCACCTTGGCCGGATCAAACACCCCCACCAAGGCGTGCGCAGTCGCCATCGAGACAACAGCAAGGGCAACACTATACAAGCGAATGTTTGGACGATCAATCGGCTCCAATGTACGATAGTCCAGGAGGATCACCTACACCGCAAGCTCATTATACTCCTATACGTCTCTTGGACACCCCGGATGTGTGTGCTCCATCACCACCGGCGCCCACGCCTACACCTCCGCCTCAATTTTCACCAATAAGGTTTCAGCTTTCACCAGTGCAGTATCCGAGCGAATGTTTGGAAGACGTTACAGTGCCTTCGTTTACACGTACGCCTTGCGACACGCCGACACCACCTTCGCCACCAAGAATACAAATGCCACAGGACTTGCCTTCTGACATGGTTTGCGAAGTCAGTGCTCCGTCTTTTCGTTCACCTGCAACGCCTTCGCTGTCATTTCCAAGTGAGCCGTTAGACGAAATAACAATGCCTTCTTTCGAAAATGCGTCCTGCGGTTCACCTTTGGACAGGCGATTTCTTTTGGACCCAAGATTAGCCGAAGAAAGCCCACCCTCTTTTGCCGTTTCTGGTGCTTCATCATCAAGGCGATCGCATTCTCGAAGAGATACATCGTGTGTGCTTATGGGAACACCACCTCCTGCGTGTCCAACACAGCGTTCAGTTTGCCAACCATCACAGCAATACGAGCCAACTCCCATACGAAAACGCACGTCCCCGCCACGAAGATTTAATCTAGCTCAGACAATGGCACAGGATTACCCACCTATGCAAAGTTCATGTCCGACAGACTCGCCTACTCCTCAAGCGCCGCATTTTTCATTCTATTCCCCAACACCGGTCGGTAAAGACTCTTTTCCCGGAGAATGCCTAACAGACATCAGCGAACCGACATTCTTCGGCGCTTCTTATCGCAGCTCACCTCACACAAGGCAATTTCCAGGCAGTTTACCTAGTGAATGCCTTGGTGATATAACTGAGCCATCATATCAGATGACTCCTCCTGCGCGTACACCCTCTCTTCCGTGTGATCTACCGTTAGAGCAAATTTGTGACATGAGCCAACCCATGTATGATAGCCCACGCAGCGAACGTTTGTCTAGCATGTCGATGCCGTCCTTTGCAGATACATCATGCGGCTCTCCTTTGGATAGGCGGTTTCTTTTGGATTCTAGAATTATGGATGAAAGTCCGCCATCTTTTGCATCATCTATGCCATCCCCGCCTCTCATTTCACCGCCATGCAGATCGCCTTCGCCATGCGTGCCGCGTTCCAGAGCGCCAACACCTCAGCGAACTCTGTTTGCGCCCTCTTTTTCTCCATCCCCAAGACAGCGACGTTCTCGAAGTCCATCTCCTGTATGTCCACTAACACCGCCAGCACCACATTTCTCTTTACGCTCTCCTACGCCAATAAGATCCCCACCTATGCATTCAATACCAACAGATCTGCCGGAAGAGTGTTTAGCGAACATAAGTGAGCCAGCATATTTCAGTACCCCACCTAGAGCTTCACCTATGCGAAGATATTTTCCCAGTAACATGACCAATGAGTGTTTAGCTGATATTAGTGCACCATCTTATGAAATGACGCCACCCCCCAGAACGCCATCAATGCCACACGATCTGCCATCAGACTTGATATGTGACATGAGCCCACCGATGTACCAGTCCCCCGCCAGTGAGCATTTATCAGGTGAATCGATGCCTTCATTTGCAGACACTTCTTGCGGCTCCCCCTTAGATCGTCGATTTCTATTGGATCCATATTTAGAAGACGAAAGCATGCCAACAATGGTTTCTGGTGGATCGCGATCTATTTCCCCGGAGAGATCAGCGCCTAGGGCAATAGGCGACTCCAGCTTTGATGGGACGTATTGTGAAATTCTTCAACGGTTTAATGCATTGAAAGGCAAAATGTATTCCTCGCAGTGTGGAAGTCCGGGATCTCCTAGCATGAGCGGTGGAGTGATGCCGCCAGGTGAATGCATTCGAGAAACTGTTATAGAACGCACAGAAAATGAGAATGGACAACTAGAAAGCACCACTCAGCACATAGTTGTGACGATTGATCCATGCGGCTCTATGAAAACGCACACCAAAGAGATAAGAACGCAATTTCCACACCAAACACCAAGAAGATTAGTTCCACCTTCGGCGGACTCCGGGGTTCTTACCCAAAGTCCTAGGCCCGCTACACAAATTGAAAACTTGCGAAGCTCTGTTCGCAAGCGGTTGGGCTTTGACATCTCGGATATGCCCAGCGAAAACTTAGCCGACATGAGCCCGCCGTGTGCTGATGATTTACCTTCTATGTCCACCGAAAATATTTTGCAACATTTATCAAGTGTACCCGAGGAACAACTCACAGATATTTCTGCACCATCGTTTCGAAGTCCACCGATTCCATCCGTCTCGTATCCAAGTGAAATGTTGGAACAAATGTCGATACCATCCTTCGAAAATGCCTCTTGTGGCTCACCACTGGACAGGCGATTCCTATTGGATCCAAGATTGGCGGATGAAAGCCCTCCGACGCTCGCATCATCCTATGTTTCTTCGCCACAAGCTTCTTATGCGACTCATTCATCTGTGCCAAGCGCATCTGGTTATAGGCCTTATATGCGTGTTAGAACACACACTCATTCGCCTAAACAACATTCTCCTCAAAGAGCTTTTGAAGCGGAGCCAGCTAGCACTACTTCCCCACAGCGATTTTCGCTTAGGCCATCACCTCGCACAGCGTCTCGTTCGCCTACGCCAGTTACCCCACAGGCGCCTTACTTCTCCTTACATTCACCCACACCTATTGGCTCACCACCTGGACGTTCTTTCCCAAGAAGTTTGCCCAGCGGGCAGTTAATGGACATAAGTGAACCAGCGTACTTCAGCTTTCCACCTAGAGCTTCGCCACAAAGGCGTTCGCTACCTAAAAGCATTCCTAGTGAAAGACTTGAAGATATAAGTCAGCCATCATACCAGAAAACTCCACCACCCAGGACGCCCGGCACACCTACAAATCTACCAAGCGAAATGCTAGGAAATGTATCTGCGCCTTCTTTCAGTTCACCAGCCAGTGAGCACATTTCAAGTGTCAGTATGCCAAGTTTTGCAGATGTTTCATACGAATCACCTTTGGACAGGCGCTTCCTCTTAGATCCTAGATTAGCGGATGAAAGCATGCCTACATTACCTAGGACGCCGTCGACACATCAATCTTCGAGTACATCTAGACCTGGCGGAGCAAGACGTCGGCTCTCGTATAGTCAACCGGATTCAAGCAGAGGAAGTGCTAGGAGAGAAGATACGGCCAGAAGTAGATCGGAAGGTAGAAAAGACCTTGGTGAACACGGTGCAGCCACTGTAGAGCAAACGCACATCACAATAAAACAGAGCGGAACATATCAACAACAGCAAAGGGTATCGCCTGCAAGAAAACACGGTTCTCAAACCATAACTCAAGGTGAGCGTGGACAATCCCCCTTGATGGACGCATTAAAGGAAGAACTCAAAACAACAACGTCAATTCACTCTGTCAGTCACATATATCCTCAGGATTCTAGAGGAAGTCGAGCAAGTAGACAAGCTCCAAGTCGAAGTATGTCATTACCAAGCGAAAATCTAGGAGATATTTCAATGCCAACGATGGGAATGACCACCACAGGCTCTTCGCAACAACGCAAAATGTCACCAGCAAGTCAAAATCTGAACGATATTTCAATGCCTTCAGGTCCAACGTCTACATTCATGTCTACTACAGGCCGCTCATCACCGCGTACCAGGCGACGAAGATCTGTACAAGATGTTAATGATATATCGCCTATTTCGTTTGCAACTACGATACCGTCGACTAATATATCCGGGTCGAGTCCGGGTAGAGGAAATTCCAGTAGAAAATATACATCAACATCGTCGAGGGGGCTGTCGGGTTTAGCTAATTATGCCCCTTTCTCCGAACAAATACGTTCGCGTAACACCTCTGGCACATGCGATTGCTGTGATCCTTGCAGTCCTTGCTGTCCAACAGTCCAAAATAATGATTGCAATGACCCATGTGCGGGTTTTTCTAATTCTAATAGATCAAACAAAAGCGACAAGCGTTAGTGGCTAAAACGTGGTTGGTAAAATATGGACATGCATTTTAAATTAAGAAAAAAAAAATCAGTTACACTTTAAAAATTAATAAAATAACTATGCAATATTTTATGTGAAAAGCATATCAAATAAATACATAAACTTTTTCTTCTAAGCTTTAACGTCAAGCTTCTGGGGTCTCGGTAGTGCATACCAAATCTAGTATCCTGGCTTAATAGAACGCATGGCGGAATGGATTTTTATCTGAGTAAGTTCTTGAGTGGTCATGGCTGTTTTAATGCATACCTGTTTCAAACATGAGCACGACCCGTACTGCGACTTCTGTCGAAGTGGCGTGGAAGAAGATGTCCACCACGTATTCTTAGAGTGCCATCAATTCCATAGGCAGATGAATCATCTGAAACTAGCCGTTGGATGAGTGTTTACGTCACAGTCAGTAGTCGACTACATGATGAAAGGAGCCAGTGAATGGGCATCAACCAGCGACACACTAACTTAAATTTTGAAGAAACTCAGGGACCTAGAGAGACAGCGGCGTATCACCCGGGATTATTTTCACCAACCAAAGCGTAGGCGCGGACCGGAACCTAGGCCGTTCCAGCCACTCGAGCAGTGCGGCTTAGAAACTTGTGCTTTCAGACCGCGCCTTGAACATGAAACTTACCAATTAAATCGTAAGCGCGGACGTATCACGTTTTCGAGCCGTGAACGGATGTTACGATTCGAGCTTATTAAATATATTCAAGCGATTTATATATTCAGCCAAGGCGAATTTATATAAGGTGATAGCAGGAGTACAATAAAAAAAACTTACATATATTTTGTTTTTGCTTTGGCGGCATAAACTGTCAAAATCTGTAAGAGTGTGTGTGGAAATTCAAACAAAATTTTTCAATTTGACATAAGAAGCCGTGAGGCGAAACACATACACAAAATCAGCTGATTTAGTAACACCACCTTATATAAATTCACCTTGTATTCAGCCTTATCCTGAGTTTCGCCTGAAAAAAAATTCACCCGAAAATTTGTCATTCGCCCACAGTAAAACCATGGAAACCAAAAGTGAAAAGTGAACCGGTTCGGGGAAAATGAAACTCATGATAAGGCTGATTATAAGCAAGAAATGCCCCAACGAATATACAGTGACTGAAACAAGTATTCATATGTTGACTTTTTTAATTTTCACAACATTTTTCAAGCTGATTTTTTTTTTTGTTATTTTTTATAAAAATATTGTTGATGCTTTAATCGAAACCACAAAAATCGAAGTTTCAAACTTTATACAAAATAAAGACCAATTAAAAAAGTTTTGAACAAAATTTCGAACTATTTCATTTGAACCTTTAGAACATTTTTGGGTTTGCAGTTTTATAGCCCACAAAATTTTAATCTTAATAAAAAATCATCTGGCTAAAAAATCGCTCCCATTTTTTAAGTTTTTTTTTTCTGATAATTTTTTTTTTACAATGTTAGAATTTTTTTAACCCTTCGGGATTTTATATGTTATAGCGTTTGTCATTTCTGGAACGTTTTGGGTTTTATCGAGTTTTAGTTTAATAAAAAATCATCTGGCGCCCATTTTTACCAATTTTTTTTTGCTGATGATTTTTCGGAATTTTTTCTGAAACTTTTTTTAAGTCTTTAAGTTTTTTTCTGAACTCTTCGGGATTTTCCCTGTTATACTTTTTGTAATTTTTTCTGGAACATTTTGGATTTTATCGGGTCTTACCGTAATTTTTGGAGTTTTCGAGATATTTGGTGTTTTGTTTGAATGAAATTAACCAAATACTTTTATACTTAGTATTTTGTACTGTGTAAATAAGTAAATACTAAATTACTTGGTATTTAGTAACATCCAACAAAATTAGTAGATAGTCCTATGGTGTTTACTTCAACCTAGAAACCTAGAAATACTATTGTACTTAGTATTTAGAAAATAAAATTTTGCCCATCACTGTTACATATGTATGTACATATGCATATTCGTGCAAAATAATTCACTGCCCTTAATTACACAGTCCAACAAATTTAAACTTTTTTCGACAACAGATTAAGCATGGTATAATTTTGAAAGAGAACTGGCCATTGTCGAGAAAATATTTCTTATCAAAAATTAAGGGCGAACAATAAAACTTCCACAGCATTTAAGCAAAAAAATTATGAAAAAGTAGAATACGCCATAACCCCTTAACCACTGTTCAACGAAAATTTTCAGCACGATGTCCTCTTTTCAAAATACTAATCATCATTATTCTGTTTACAATCTTATTAGACATCGAGCTGTGCGAATAGAGCGATTGGGCAACCTGATTATTCTTGTTTAAGCTGAACTATGTATGCCTTTATAAAACCGTTTAAACCAACTTTTTTAAAATGATTTTTTTTTTTCTTAAATTATGAATTACCTTATTTAATTACAGCTGTTGTACATTTTTTAAGCAAATACATTAACACTTTTTCTGCATTTTCTCTATAATTACTTATATGCGCTTTCTTCAGCACAACCATATACGTTAGAGGTCCATTATATAAATAAAGGCTGTGGTAAAACTTTACAGCTAAATCTTGCAATTCCCTCGGCTGCTCTTTGGCAAGATATAAGGAAACATTTTCAGCGATTTCATTTAAATGCTTACCATCAATTTGTATGCTCTGAATGAGATTAGCAAGGTTTTCGAGCAGAATCACTTGTAGTTTATACTCTTGTGTTTGACTGAAAGAAAAAATTAAAAGAAACTATGTATTAGTATTGGGAAAATTAATTATCGGTCATATCTATAGCACGCCATTTCATAGTGATATTGTCTGCCCCTTATGTTTATTTTTTAATTTTCAAGAATTTTCAATTAAAATACAGTTCATTCTCTTACAAACCCCATATAAACCAAAGTTTAAAGCTTTGTAGAAAACTTGTTTTTCGTTTTTAGTATTTATGGCCTATAAGAATTATATTCAACATTTTTTATTGAGCTTGAGGCGATTTTTAAAGAAAATCCATTGTGGAACCAACAACCACATGATCAAGTTTAAATAGCACTGGAATATCTGCGCTTGATTATAGTTGGCTTAACAAATGTAATAATTGGAAAAGCGACAAGAATTTATAAGGGCTTTGTTAGAGAAGGATGGTATTTTAATTGAAACTTCCTTAAAATTTAAAATAAATATAGGTGGCAAACAATATCACTTTAAAATGGCGTGCTATAGATATCACCGATACCGTTCATATGTACATATGAATACATACATATATCGTAACCCCAATGCAGAAATACTCTAATATTTTGTCTGTTTACAGAATAATTAAAAACGGTATACAAGTTAAAGTTTTTCAGTCGCGATTTTCTTAAAAAACTCTTTTCTAATAAAGACTGCAAGTAGTCTTTCGACTCCTGCAGTAAGGTGGACGTTGGCAGACAATGAAGTAGCGTATTTTTGTATTAAGGTACCGATGAAACAAATTCAATAAAACTTACACTGTAATTCCCTCTACTCTGCTATGCTTAGCTGTGTTTCTCAAAAAATCATTTAAAAAGGGTACTACATCGCTACCAAAGCAAAAAAAAATAAATATTATTGTTGCATTAATTAAAAAAAGCGCAGTAACATACTTTACGCTACGTTTTAATATAAATTCCTTGGCATAAGTCGCAAGCACATTCAACAAAGTAAAACAGCGGTTCAAAACAACTGCATCCTTATTGCGGAACTTCTCTACTAAAGGTGACCATATTAAATGTACAAGTGGCAGAAGCTCATCCTCGTAGTCATGCAGCAAAGGCACCCCACAAGCCAAACACTCGAGGGCAAGTATCTGATGAGTTGTTTCTCTAAATCCAACGTATTTCAGTACTTGATTTATTATGTCTTTAACCATCTCAATATGACGTGGCAATTGTGGTTTTAAGTCCACCTCTTCATCCTTCATATCAACATCATCAGCAGCGCTGGTTGCAGGATTTGCATTTGATAAGCTTTCCATATTAGAGGCATCACTTTCTTCGAAAGGACTAGGCCTTTCCAAAATATCTAGCCAATTTCGCAGAGGATCGACGTCTTGCATTTCCTCCACTTGCATCGTCACAGACGCGACATCAGCATTGCTAGTTATCTTCCAACGGGCAACATTTCGCAGGAACGCATTAAAGACACGCAAAAAAGCATCAATATTTTCAGATTGTTGGGATTTGCTGCATTCGTTGCGAATCGTTTGGAAAATGCTCTCTAAATGCGGCAACGATCTTCTACTGCTTAGCTGTAGCACAACTGTGAGTATGTCCACGGCAGCATAACTCTCGGGTGACTACAACATATTATACAAATATTACATAAAAAGAAAATAGGATGCAAAATTTTGATATATGTATGCACATACATATGTAAATAAGTACATACCCGCTTTAAGATTGAATTGAGGTGATAACTGATGTAATCTGTGTGTGTTTCTATTAAATGTGTGACTTGTGCGAATTTCAGAGCCTTTTGTATGGAAACCAGACAAAAGTTGGCCGCTTGGTTAACTATTGTATTGCTACTTGCTAAGAATACATATAGATAAATTTTAATTAACTCATGCATATAAAAACAAATAGATAGCATTACATACCCACTTTCAAAAGCACTTTGTGAAGACAGCGAAATATGTAACGGTCAAACCTGTCGCCGTAAAACAATGAGCAGTGCCCTAAAACGTCCAGTGCTAGGCATGTGTGCAGCACATTGAATTGGGCATCCAACATTGTTACACGTTCAGATTTGTTCACTGGTTATAGAAATAGATAAATATCAGTGATTAATAACTCAATAGGGCGGGACGTAAATAGCAATCGGAAATATTGAGATCTTTCTATTACATATGTACTTGTCTATTAAAAAATTTTAAAATTATCGATTCGTACCAAAAAATACGCCATTATTTAAATTTGCATGATAAACATCGTAGTTGCAATGTTAAAATAAGATATTTTCGGATAATTCTATTAGTCACATCCAGAGGTCGCGAATAACGGTCACCAAGCGCGACGAATACCGAATAAAAAAGACGAAGCATTTTGAAAAAACAGCTTAGCTCCGAAAAAGTCCGAAAAAACTGAAATTTTAAACCAAAAGAACCGAAAATTCTGAAAAAGTACGGAAATGTCCGAAAATCCCCCAAAAATTTCGTGTGTGATTTTTTGGAGGATTTTCTCGCTTGTTGGGAGCTAAAAATAATAAATAACATACAATAAATCCGAAAAAAACCAAGAATACCAAAGAATTTGGGGTTTAGGAAAGTTAAGGATTTTTCCAAAACTAAAAATAAATTTTTTCGGGATTCGTGGCGTCTAATTTTTGGAGACTTTTCTTCCGACTTTTTGATGTTTTCGAGATTTTCGGAACTCAAAATCAATATAAAACACAAAAATGCCGAAAAATTATCTAGTTCTTTAATAAGTAAAACACGAAGAATTCCGAAAAAATTCCTCGGTACTTCAACTCAGTAGTCTTCGTGTTTTTCGGAATTTTTCATGTTTCATATTTTTTTAATTCTGAAAAACTCGAAAAAATCACAACATGACCAAAAAATCTCCTCGGTGCCTTTAAGATGTTTTAGGGATTCTTTCTGTTTAATTTTCCGGGATTTTTCCGAAAGTTGTTTGGAACTAAAAATGAAACACAAAATACGATACGAAATACACGATTTTATATATTTACCTTCATCAAAATTTTTCTCATCATCGGAATCCACGTCTTGTGTTCGAATTTCAACCGCGGATTCATATAAACCCGGTGTCCGATCCACAAACCAGTCAGTTGGCTACATAATGAAAACAGAAACAAAAAAATTAAAATCAAGCTAACAAATATTCGAATATCTGAAATATATACTTTATCTACTTTAAGTCGCCAATTCGCATCCGGTTTCAATGCTAAGTACCAATGGTGGTCATTTAGTATTTCTTCAATAAGAGTTTCCACCAATTCCAAATCATTATGATCTTTGTCTTTTTTGGCAACTGTGCCTACCCAAAGCAGTAAAAGTAGTATCTCATTCATGGACTCATGATTTTGAGCCAACAGTTCCAATAGAAAGTCGTAAACCAAACGATTAAGGCCCTTGGTCTTGCCCAAAGTTTCACAAATATCCTTTACTAAATTAACGCAACGCTCACTATTTAAATATTTATATTGCCTCCAATGCAGTTTTGAAGCCTCAGCATAATCAGATTCCACTACTTCCTTAGTAGCATATTCTTCTTTTAATAAATCGCGGCTTGTTTTCATATCCACTGCAGACAATAGACACCTACAAAGCATTTCTAAATTTTTCGGAACCAAAAATAAACAATTTATTCTCGAAGCACTTAAATTGTTTAGAAATCCTTTTAAAAAAATTAACTCAGCATTTTGTTCAACATCTACGCAACGGTAAATTATACGAGGCAGTTTGGCTAGATGTTCATCGAACAACGTCTCAGCGTATTCATCGAAAATAGTCTCGTTGTCACTACCTACTTGTTGCAGTTGCGATAGTGTCTGCACACACATTCGTCTTATAAGTTTGTCCTCATCCTCTGACATGGCTATTACATTTTCTAGCAAATTCAAAAAGTTACTTGCAAGATTAGGGGCACAACGTTCTATTAGAGTACAGCACATGCGTGCATATTCTGTGCGAACAAGGACGGATTCATGTGAGCGCAAAATGCTTGTCTGTGTATAAACTATACGGAGTTTTTTGGATGTTTCATGAAACCACTCTTTAGAGCGGCCGTTGCTTTGCATGAGCTTGAGTCGATCTTCTATCTGTTCTTTTGAACATTTGCTGCTAATCATATCGTCTTTATCGGGAAATTTGAGACTTTGTTGTAGAACAGTATGAATTAGGGTTTTAAACTCATCTTTACTGTAACTACGTTTGATTATGGCCTCATTCGATTGGTCGAAAACTACACATAATACGCGACTCAACGCTTTAATGGCTATCTGAAAATTTGAGAAAAGTAAAACATAATAGTCTATGCTGTATTAGTAAAAACGTTTCTCTGTAATTAAAGCTATTTGTATGGAATAATACTCATAACTTATGGACTTACTGATTTTAGTGTTTCACCTAATTTATCATCAGCAAGGCAAGTCTTTAATAAGACCGTAACAATTTTAGGCAGAAATATAAAAGTTGTGTCCGCAACTTGATTTCGTAGCACTACATCAGTGAACTCCGCTTCATTATGAACATAGAAAACTGTCATTAGGCACTCAAGAGAAGCGGTTCTAAATATTCAGATCGAAAAATTTACAGTTGAATACTAAGTACACTCTTTTCCATTACTTACACTAATTTACGATATTTTTCTTTTTCAATAAATTCGACCAAAGATAGCAATATTTGGCCTAAAAGCACTGCAGATTGTTGTGTATAAAATGATTCGAGCACGTCGCTACTGGACCGACGCAATACCTCTGAAGTGCACTGAGCTGAAGCTAGTTTTAATTCCTCACTCAAATTGGTTCGAGTTGCAATTGCACCCGGTTCACGGACTTGCTTTAGCACAATTACTAGTAAAGTGCGCAGCTCTTGAACATCTTCCAAATATAATTTGGATACAACAATGCGAACGCAATCTAAAATGCCTGCCATTAAATCCTGGCTTACTCTATAAGAATCCAGTTATTATTGCATATTTTCGTTGATAAAGAATAACATACCCGTTAAGCTCTTCTAACTTAAGTACCAATGGCGCGAGTATCTGTCCATGGAATACTTTCATTTGTCGGAAATTAAATTGCGTGAGTTCACTCCTCAAGCGCTCCAAGTGGGCTCTGTTCGGCGCACGTAGAAACATATCAAGTGCTGGTTTTACTTTGAGAACAAATTGCTCAAACGAAGCCATTTTTAACCTTACATTTAATTTAAATTTTCACGCGAAATTTTTCATATGGATAAAACTCAATGCAAGAAAATGCAAACACGCCGGCTCCTTGCGATGTAAACAATTAAATTTCATACAAAAAAATTAAATCAGCTGTTTTCAAGGTCGATGAAACAGCTGGCAATTGTTAAAATTTATCGATTACTTTAGCTTCGTTTATTAAACTTATTAGGTTTGTTCCACACGAGGCCGCGGATACCCGCGGTAATAGAGAGCGAATACGTTCCACTTCTGGCTTGTTAATGTCTTCTTCTGTATTCACGAAACAGCCCGGACTTTTTTTCCGGGCGCAAATGTGCAAAGGGCAATTTGAAATAAGAGCCGTTGTTTAAATCCGAAACAAAATTTATAACTTATACCATGTTCTGACCGACAACGAAAACACTTTGAAAACGTGTTTTGGGAGTGTGTGCTGAAGGCTGTTCACATCGGCTGTTAGTGTTTTCGATGACATTTCTTACATCCTCTCATTACAGTTTTGCTACACAAAAACAAAACCAAAATGCTTTTCCCTCATTTTCTTTTCATTAGCAACCTCTTACTTTCATTCTTATTTTACTTTTGCCAGCCAATTAACAATAAATCCGAAATGGCGTATTAATGATGATAAAATATGACTTCCACTTCGATAAATAATCGAAAAAAACGAATGAAGACACCGATTGGAATGAGTGGAACGTGAGTTTTCAAGTAGTTTTCAGCGAAAGCTGGTTTTCGTTTGACAGATTTTACATTGACGAAAACACAAGTTTTAAGTCGAAAACCAGTTTTAGCAACGAAAACATGTTTTCGATGTCGGTCAGAACATGGTATTAGGGTTTACACCGGACAATATTGTCAAAATGATGTGTTTGTTGTAATATGAATTCGCCGTATTTACAACAAACACATCATTTGACATGTCTTGACAATATTGTCCGGTGTAAACCTAAGTAAAACATAAAGTGGAAAATACCACAGAATTTTCAGGAAATGTAGTTAATTAGTAATTTTATTAGCTATATAAGATACATACACTGTAAGTTCGTGCGCAAGGGCAACCCTATACTTTACTCTACAATTGGAGAGTTAATAAAGTTAGTGCAGCGAGCAGAAGCAAGTCGAAATACCGTCAAGAAACAAGGAAAACAACGAGAAGAACGAGAGCTCAGCCAATTAGCTGAAAATATAATTTAATTGTATGATATGTAGTTTAAATAAATAATTTAATTTCATTTTTTCATTGTACCTAAATAATCATCGTGTCACGTCAAAGCTGACATAATAAACACATTTCTATTTTTAAAGTCGAGTTCATTTTTTATGTACACGTAAAATCATTGGCGCGTATTCATAGTCCACCCACTAAGTCGAAACTAATAAAGTTGCAACTTAAATTTAAGTACCAACTTAAAATTCACTTCTATTCATAGTCGCATTTCAGACTTCTACTAAGTAGTTTTAACTTAGTTTTACGATATTGCAAAACGAGTGTGAAAATGAATAATTTTTCTTTACGATATTTTGGAAAAATTACATTTTTATTAAATAATGTCTATGTATATATATAAAATCTGACTGATTCTGACTAGACCGGTCTCGTACGGGATCGCAACTTATTTAGAGGTTTTCGATTACCGTCTGCATTACCTTTTCCCACTGGGCACTTTCAACTTAACTCCGCAAAAACAATGAAACTGCCATCCTGATAAATTTTGTCTACTTTTCTATCGACTTTATATCGCATCTAGAAAAAATCGGTGCCCGCGCGACTAAATAGAGGTTTTGGGAATATCCTTGCATAAAACTAAATCCTGGATGAAATTTANAAATGAAACTGCCATCCTGATAAATTTTGTCTACTTTTCTATCGACTTTATATCGCATCTAGAAAAAATCGGTGCCCGCGCGACTAAACAGAGGTTTTGGGAATATCCTTGCATAAAACTAAATCCTGGATGAAATTTAGTTTCGCTGCCCCAGATCATTTAAATTTCTTTTTACGAACCGGCGACTTCAAGCAGCAGCTAACAAGGGTAATGTCAATTGTAAAAGCTTTCAACCAGTCAGTAAGCACTACGGCAGACTCAAAACATACAAATCGAGTTTGTTTGCTGCAACCCATGGAATCCGATTACACGGCAATAGATTTAAGCTCAGGTAAGAACGTGATAGGACGCACACGCGAAACTGGAATTAGAGATGTCCGTTGCTCCAAACGTCAGCTGGAGTTGGACGTTGACATGGAAAAGCCATGCGCAAAAATGCGAGTGATTGGTATAAATCCTTGTAGCGTTAATGGCTTGATGGTTATGCAAAATACAGAGTGCAAACTGGAACATGGTGATATAATCGAACTCGTTTACGGCAAACATCAATTCGAGTTACAATTCAAACCGCCACCTTTAGCGGAATCAAAAACCAACCAGAAAAATGTGCAGAGGCTACAAAGTACAGCAGATGAAATATCTTCGGTAAGTAAGAACTGTGTAAGCGGTTCTGGGCATTGGGAATCAATAGAAAATGGGGCCATGATGGTTTATACAGACGCAGGGGTCAAAGCAGCAAACAAAATTGCTGCCTATGATATTGATGGAACCATTATTACGACGAAATCGGGCAACGTTTTTCCAAAACATGCTGATGATTGGCAGATAATTTACCCTGAAGTGCGAAAAAAACTAAAATTATTGCATCAGAGTGGCTATAAAATTTGCTTTTTCACTAACCAAGGAGGTATTGCTAGCGGTAAAATAAAGTTGGATGACTTTAAACGCAAAATAAAAGAAATACTTCAAAAATTGGACGTCCCGGTCCAGGTATTTATCGCTGTAGAAGAAGGCCTTTATAGAAAGCCCTTAACTGGAATGTGGCAGTACTTGGTGGAGCATCAAAATGAAATCGTAGAAATAGATTTGGCAAAAAGCTTTTATGTAGGTGACGCTGCCGGACGACCAGAAAGCGGTAGTGGCAAAAACAAACGTAAAAAAGACCATTCCTTGACAGATCGTCGATTCGCTGCTAACATAGGAGTTTCATTTTACACACCTGAGGAGCATTTTCTAGCTAAACCGACGGAGCAGTGGATTAAACCTGAATATGAACCGGCAGAGGTTGTAAATAATACACACATTCCACTATTAGAGCCAGAAAATGTAGAACTACCTAGTGACGAAACCGAAATGATCATCATGGTGGGATTGCCGGGCTCAGGTCAGTTTCAAAAAATTGTATTTGATCAAAAACTTTTCTTTTTTCATTCTAAAAAACTATTTTTTTCGTTTTAGGTAAAAGCTTTTTTTGTCGCGAATATTTGGAGAAACATAATTACACTATAGCAAACGCAGACAAAGCTGGAAGTACTCAAACGTGCATTAAAATTTGTGAAAAGGCATTGGCAGATGGTAAATCGTGTGTTGTTGACAATACAAATGTCGACGTCGAATCGCGTAAGAAGTTTATAAAGCTTGCCCAGCAGTACAAAGTGCCGTGTCGATGCTTCGTTATGAATGTGCCCGTAGACCAAGTGAGACATAACATAAAATACAGACAATTGACAGATAAAAGTCATTCAAAGATAAATGAGATGGTCTTTAATATGATGAAGAAAAAGTATACAGATCCATCTAAAGACGAAGGTTTCTCACATACAGTCAAAGTGAATTTAAAGCCAAAATTTAAAAGTGCAGTTGAAGAGCAATTATATAAGTTATATTTGTTAGAAAAGTAAGTTCGATTTGAGAAAAATGCCTAATAATACTAAGTATGAATGTTCCTTTATCAAAGTAAGAGTATTAATCCAAGGTAAATATGCGCTTTGCGATATCGTCAATTAGCCAATCCATAGCGCCTAGCAATTTTTCACCAGTTACGGCACTCACACCCACAACCAGCCAATGATGTGTAGTTATATCGTCTAGCTCGAGAATCTGAAACGAAGAAAAATATTGGACAGATGTATAAATGTATTCACATTCGTTGCGACATTTATATAAATATTGGGAGTGTCTACTTACACGCGACACGGTCACAATTACCGCATATTCACGGTAAAAATTAAAGATTATCCACGGTAAAAATCACCGTAAATCCATTGTAAAAATTACAGTAGATCCACGGTAAGATTATTGTAAATTTTTACCGGGGATATACGGTAATTTTTACCTTGCATGTACGGTATTTTTTACCGTGGATATAAGGTAATTTTACCGTGGCGCATGTGTGTAGACACTGCCATAAATATTACATCTTTGATATCATTTGCGCTGAGGGCACCAGGTAAGTCCTGTTTGTTCGCTAGTACTAGCAGTGTAGCGCCGGCAAGCCTTTCCTCTTGTAACAACACTCTAAGTTCTTGTTTACATGACTCAAGACGCATACGATCTGCACTGTCAACTACCCACACTAGCCCGTCAGTTGATTCAAAGTAGTTGCGCCAATAAGAACGTAGCGACTTCTGACCGCCTACATCCCACAGATTCAGCATATATCCATTGTGCTCTAGTGTTTTTATATTGAAACCCAATGTTGGCGAAATTGTGTCTATGGACTCGCCGTTAAATCTCTTTAATATTGTTGTTTTACCGGCATTATCCAGTCCGCTAAATAAAAATTGGTTGAGAAAAATCATAGATGACTCACTAAAGCGTATCACATTTTACATACAGCAGTAAAATTCGCATCTCCTTTTCTTTTTGACGCATTTTCTTTAAGACTGAAAGAAATCCCATGTTTGTTTTATTCCTTTTTAGTCTTTAGATAATTCACTTAAAATCAATTTTAATTTCCATATGCGCTAGGTGCGTTTTGTTTATTTCCCCAATGATAATTATTTTGTGATAGTGATGGAAAAATATCGATTAAAGGTTAAGTTACATACCATAATGCCATAGCCATAGCCATAACTAGGGCTGTTCGATATTTAAGAAAGTATCAATATCATAAATCGATTTAATTCGTTGCAGGTAAAATCGATATGGCGATATATCGGGCTGAACAATATCGATATCGGAAAAATCGATGTTGAAAATCCTACTCCCAATTGAATAGAATATTAGTCCCCTTTCAGACACGTCAAGTCTTGCTTTCAAGTCTGCTCGTTCGTAGGCGAAGGAGGTGAGAAGAGAGGGGAAGAGTACAGATACTTCCGTACCGTCAATTCGTTTCAAGTTTTCTTGTCTCCTTTGATCTTTTCGTTGCTTCCCATTTAAAGAATCAAGAACTTGAATTCAATTAATGCTTGAAATACAATACCGGCGAACGGCAAACTTCGCCGAATTGGGCGATGCTGTCGTTCACCGTTCGCCCATCTATTTCGCCTACTTAAACAGAATTAGAGCGTTAGCGAAAACAGCTGATCCCATTTGGTCCCCTTTATAATTTGGGTGACCATATTTATAAAAAACTAAACCATATTCAGAAATGAGGAAATGATAACAAATATAAATGTAAAACAAAAAAAGATTATTATAAATAATTTGTTTCAAGCCAGATTTAACGAATCCACAATTATATTTTTCAAACAACAAAAAAAAATCGTGTTTAGGTTGTTTTCTTTTAAAACTTTGAAAGCAAAAAACAAATACGGCCACCTTTGGCAAGCACAGCTGTCATCGCCCAGCAGGGCGATAGAAATAAATCTATCGCCATGAAACGCCGCCAAGCGAACTTCGCATTTCGCTTTGGCTGTGTTCAATTTCATATGCTTGCGGGTGTTCTACTTTTGACAGCGCGAATTTCGCTGTGGTGAGTTCGCCGTTCGCCGGCATTGTATTTCAGCTATCAAGTTGACGCGTGTGGAAGCAAATAGAAAACACAAAATAGACTGCGAAAAAAATTGCCTTCAAGACTTGACGTGTCTGAAAGAGGACTTAGACCTGCCTATCAACTCACCTTATTGTGTTATTTCCATCTTGTATATTTACTGAGGATTAAAACAGCATGCCGGCTGACTCAAGCGGTTTTTCAAACTTAAGAGCTAAATAAATCACACAAGTTGCTGATTAAATCAACTTCAGTATTTTCCTATACACTTTTTTGTAGATGAAAAACAAATTTCAACTTAAATATCGATTTTGAGGGTAAAGTATCGATGTCTACGATATATCGACCTTGGAATATCGATTCAAAAAATCGATTATCGTGCCACGAAATATCGATATTCAGAATAATCGATACGATATCGAACATTCTTCGAGAGGATAGGGGTATTCTCTGAGTCTTGCAAAGCCCTTGCACGGTGCACGGATTGCACGGTAAAAACCGGTTTTCGTATGGGACAGCTTTGCAAACCGTGCAATCCGTGCACCGTGCAAGGGCTTTGCAAGACTCAGTGAATACCCCTGATATGTATTTGCATCTGTAAATGTGATTCTTTCGTTATTCGCATGGTAATTCGGTCTGAATTACCTACAAAATTTTTTATGGCGAATTATGTAATTCGAAGCGTAATTGGACTGCGAATGACGAATGGTAGGGCGAGTTTACGTGCATTATAACCATTTGAATTCATTTCCCATACAATAGATAATTAAGTGAAAGTTCACTCCGTTCTGTTAATTCCATTATAACCCAAGCATAAGTCAAATCATCGATGTTTTGAAAAACATCGCAGATGTTTCTTTACTAATTTTTCATTACCGAAAAAAAGAACGCATTCCAGTTTTGGTTTAGTTCTGCACGAGAACAAAATTTAATGTCAAGAATATTCCTATAAAAGAACAAAACGGGAACAAAAGTGTTGAGAGCAGTTTAAACGGGAACAAAATGAGGACAAACGATTTGGGAAAGTTTTCGTAAAGAAGTCAATACAAACAAAACTCTCGGGTACGTTCTCAAGAAGAACAGAATGAGAAGGAAACCTTTGGGAACGTTTAAGAACGAAAATATCGAGAACGTTTTCAAGGAGGATAAATTAAGAACAAAAGTCGGGAACGTTCTGCTATAGAACAAAACGAGAGCAAAACTTTTGAGAACTTGACGTTAATAATAAGACGAGCGTCTGCATGTTATGATGAAAAGTCGCTACAGTGAGAAGTACAATTGTTAATTGTGAGCCAGAGGAAAGCCGGATATTTTAACTTCCAGATTGTTTATTTTTATGCGCAACTGTCCACTTACGGAACAGCTTTTAATTTTCTGTACACGAAAAGTTCGTGTCTAAAGTCTTTCGTTTACTTTATTGGTATAAATATCTTTCAGTTCTTTTTTGATCAGTTTTACTATTCAAACATTTCAAACTAATGGGCCGCTACGGAAAACATTTTGCTCTCGCTTTCATTCTTATGGGCTGGTTTTGCTTACGAGTAAAAGCACATTTAGCGCATTTAGCTCTAAATGCTACTCTAAATGTACATTTATCCATACAAAATTCGTCACTAAATGCAACTCCATTTTTGCATTAAGAATCTAAATGCTAAAAGCAACCCTGTGATCTTCCAAAATTTCCACGATTCGAACTGGTTTAATGAGAAAAAGTGGCAAAATTGCTTTTTCGAGTATACAGTCGCTAGCTGCGTTTCAGTGATCGCTGATCGAGATTTCATTTATTATTTTACATTATTTGGATAAAGAAAAGTTACGCAAATTTAACATCGATATGATGCTGATAGAAATCTGGATTAATTTGTGATCAACTCTGTTTGTTTTGTTTCCTAATTAAGTGAGGAAATTATAATTGACAGCACCGACAAATGAATATATACACAAACAAATGTTCGGTTATGGTTAAAACAATTCAAGTTTTTGTATTGAATTTTCGGTTTAGAATTTATTTTTTCCTTTTCAGTAGGTGTTTTTGCACATTATCTTCTCCGTGAGAATTTATCGTAATAGATACGGATCTGAATAAGCGACTGGAACACGGCTGTTTGTCAAAAGCATACGATTTCGAACTTGCGTAAATGTACATTTGCTAAATGCGGTAGCATGAACGCTCTTCGAAAACATATGTTCGAAAGTGCTAAATGTTGCATTTTAAATGCAGCAAAAACGCTGCATTACAGGCTTCTTTACCAGTCAGAAAGTTACTCAGACTTTAGTTCCCAAAAAGACGAATGGTAAATTGCTTCCAGATATGTTGAATAAGGAAAATGTAGAGACGCTAGCGATTTTATTTACTTGTGGCGATGAAGATAGTTGATAGGGGTTCCACACCTTGGAAATAGTATGGGGATTACTCAGGCAAAACCTTTATTATCATCAGTTGAGGAGTAAGCAGCAGCTGTGTATTTATATACCGCGGCAGTAAATACTGGTCGCCATAAGGGAATCTGCATTATGCTAGACAAATTATTAGAGAAAACTCTTCTTTATTTATCATGTCGTCATGTCCATATTTTGGAAGTTGTTTTAAAGAGAGTTTTCAATTGCAAAATGTACCTCAACCAGATATTTTTCTAAAATTCCAGAAACCAGACCGGACTTCATTTATTGACCGCCACTTCCTTCATCGGCATTTCCTTCCGCTTTCGATAATCGTACTTCGAATTTCTTACAACAGTGTACCCACCCAAAAGTGAACAAGCACTTAAGGGTAAAAAATTACCCTAATGACGGCAGGCAGCAGCAGCCGGCGACTGGCCATTCATGAATGTATGACGCGCGCGCCTCAGTCGAATACGGACCGGTGTGCAAGAGCGACGTGTTTGAAAATGTGTCGGAGTGGTTTTAAAAGCGAGTGCGTTTATTACACAAATAGTTAGCTTGCCAACTAGTAAATTTACAATTGAAACAACATGTGTCTAAAAGGTGAAAGATGTGTTAAAATCTTAAAATAAGAGCAAATGCTTACGAGGTAAAAACTAATTTTTTAAAAGCAATATGTATTTATATACCAATGCGTGTCAAAGGGAAAAGTCGGTGAACAAGTGCAAGTGAAAATTCAAGCAAATATTAAATTTTCGTTACAAATAATGTGTCTCTGGTGAGAAACTTTAAAATGCCATTTCTTGTGTGTGCAGTTAAGTAAATCTACATTATATGGACGTTAAATTTAAATTCCTCTTGGTGGGAATTATGGGCCATAAAATATGCTGGAGCTCCGTGCTATGAACAGGCGATTTAAACTACAGATTTCAGTGACGAACTATGTTAGGCCGATGGTAGAAGAAAACCTGTAAAACCGCCTTGCCAGTCGTATATATATGTACGTATGAACATACGTATGTATGTATGGATGGATGTGCTTTTGTACATGCCTAGCGACTCAGTCCAGTCGGCATAAGCTAAATAAGCAAGCCACCGAGGCAATCAAAGAATCTTAATAGGAGAAGCATCGCCGCGATATTGATGCAACTAACAATGAGAATTATGTGTACGTTAAATAGCGCTTTGTCGGCGAAAAATTGTTTGGAGTTAAGTCACTTCATGGCAATAGCAGAAGAGCGTGTACTGGGCTGAAATTATCAGAGATAAAAAATGGATTTATATATAGTAAAATTATGCTGAATGTAAAATTGTTCGAGTGTTGAACGTTACAATTTTCCTAAATTCGCGCTTGGGTAAAATAAATCCGCATCCGCAGCATCACTTAAAATAAAAGACGAAAACAACATCAAATTTGTATTAATAATGCTTTATATAAAACAGTAACAACAATTCTGATTCCGGTGCAATAATAAGATACACAAAGAAAAAAAACTCCGCGGGCAAGCTGCCTATGGCCAAACGCAAGCTGTTTCGTTAACCCAGCGGGAAGACGAAAGGCCGATTGAGCTGAACAACAAAGGCGCGCGTTGCCTGTGTCTGTGCTGAGGATTTATTATAGGAGTCTGTTCTGGAAGTTGTTTTTCCAGTTTTTGCGATTTAAATCACGTTGAGCATTAAAGTAGTATGAATGTGCCGGTGAGAAGGAGATGAAGAAAATTTTTATATTCATAGCATATACATAGTACTTATCCATGTACATATGTACATACATATGTATGTACATATATACACGCGTAAAATAATACAATGCTCTTCTGGAGCAGCTTTTACAGTGTAATTGATAATGCGAAAATGTTTAAACAAAATTTTAACGGGAAAATAGAAAATAGTTAAATATAAATATAAATATGTAGGTATGTATATGTACGTGTGTTATCTAAATGTCTGTGAAGCGATTAGAATGAAGCAAGAATNCGCAATCAATAGTAAATATTCAAGAGATATGTAAGTTTAATCAACAAAGTATGTAGTTAAATATAAATATAAATATGTAGGTATGTATATGTACGTGTGTTATCTAAATGTCTGTGAAGCGATTAGAATGAAGCAAGAATAAAGAAAATAAAGGTTGAGAAATTGTGAAAGTGTCTGTGCCAACAAAACCTCAGAGTGCCTCAGAGCGTAATCAAGTAGATAAAGAAAATCTACTCTCATCAATTCACACTGCCACATTCCTAAGCCAAATAGGAGAAAATTGCAATTTTGCATTGCGTAAAGTGTTTCAAATTGCATTGCAAGCATTAAAAAAAATACAAAAACCAAACAGCCGGCCGGCGACTCACTCATTTTGCCCGCGAATCACAAATACTTTCGTTTATAATCTCCACATTAAAATTTACTTACTCTTCCAATTCGAATACGCTGTGCGCCGAAGATGCCGTTCGTACAGCGCGTCGTTCAACCGACGCGGCTGGCGCTAGCTTCCACCTCCAGCGCTGATGAGCGCGCGCGAGCCACCAAATTCCACTGCACACCAGGCAAATGTAAAAACAACAACTGCATCAATAAACAAACTACACAAATACAACAAACACAACAATCGAATGGAGAACACGTGAGAGAGGAAGCTTGCATTGAGAGCACTGGCGGTGATGGTGGTGGTGTAAATTCAAGGACAACAACCAGTGCCAAGGACACTGCACAGCAGCAGCAGCAGCAATCGAGGAGTCTTGCAGCAACACCCACCGCCGGTGTTAACCAAACGCCCACTACCACTATTACCAGAGCAATAATACATGTGTCACAACAAAACGGCGAAACAACGAACACGCTCGACTTCACTACAAAAACAACCGCCACATCAGCACCAACTACGCCAATGCGTGACATTGTCGATTGCTCTAATCATCTTCATCATCATCATCATAATCAAGCAAATGGCTATACATGCAGTTTCAGTTATGCCACCGATACGGAAGAAGAAATCTCTGTGGCAACAACATCTACTCCAACAGCTGGACCGGTGCTTTCTTTGAAAAAGCTTAAGCATCATGTGGAGTTTTTGTCCACTGTTCCTTCACCGACACGCAGCGTCAGTGCTGGCGAAATGCACGGACCACAACAACAACAACATCAACAACGCCAATTGCAATTGCAGCGCCAACGTCAACAACAGCAGCGTACGCAATCGCCAACAGCCGCAAAAATTGTCTCCGGTCATGAATTTGAATCAATTAGTAATCTAACGCTGAGCAACGCTTTACGTCAATTGGCATCGCTGGTGCTATTAGCAAGCGATATATTCGATGAGCTGCACAGCGAGCTGCTTTCGGTGGGCGAGCGGGCACGCAATGTACAAAGAAAAGTTTTAGCTGTGGAGCAGCGCGTCTCCGCCTACAATCCGAAGATGGTCACAGTTCGTAAGTGTCTAAACTATGCCATTTTTAATCACTTATTTATTTAATTGTTTTGTACTTAAAAAACACAATTTTAGTGCACGATTGGCTTTCTATTAGGGCTGGAAGTGCTTTTTTGAATAGCCGAATATCTGAATATAGATATGATTAAAAAACAAATCTAATCTCCGGATATTAACCTGATATTCGGATGAGAAAAATTAAAGCCTATTAACCGGTTCAATAAATAGAACGGATATTTTTTTTTTTAGATTGGCGCTTACACATATGTTAGTGTTTGGCCGAGCTTCTCCTCCGACTTGTGGCGTGCGCCTTGGTGTTGTCACACAAATCGGAGGGACCTACAGTTTTACGCCGACTCCTAAGGGCGATTGTATTTTTATGAGAAGCTGTTTTTCATGGCAGAAATACACTCGGAGGTTTGCCATTGCCTGCCGTGGGACGAGCGCTGTTAAGAAACAACCTTTTTCCATATTTTTTGCGATGTTGCTTTGACCAGGGCTTGAACCCAGGTGCTGATGAGTTAAAGCGCGCACTGCTTACCACTACACCACAGCGGACGAACGGATATTAACTAACGAATATTCGAATACACGAATAGTCCCAGCCCTACTCGCTATACATATTTATATGTATCTACTTGTATCTATTTATTTAATGTAAATATCAGTAGTATTGTCTAGTTAGGAAAAAGTAGCTTTTTACTGTGAGGCTAACTACAAGGATCGAAAACATGATTTTGCGTATTTTAAGGGTTGTGGAACCGTCGTCATCTTGAAAATAAGGTTAATCAACATATGTCCCCAATACACTGAAAGACTCAATTTACAAAATTACACATCATCAACATTTTTTTAAAGTAGGCTAAATTTTTATTTTTTTGGTCTAAATAACTTGCATACAAACAGGCTCCTGTCTCTTGCAATTCATCAGCGCCCTCAATGTCTCTATGCCAGTGTACCTAGACAAGAGGGACGACCATTAAGCGCAGCTTCGTTTTGCATGCTTTAACAAGGTCAGATTTGGTAAACGCAAGATGCTATTGCTAATAAGGCCGCCAGGCTTTCGGAATGTATTGCTGCTTTAAGTTTTTAACCAACACCAATATCTAAGATTTTATATGCTTTAAAGATAGTTAAAACTTCCATTTGAGGGTGCACCGAGTTTCTCAGAGTAGACCGCAATCGAGTTTGGATTATTCTCTTTATCAGCCACTCAGTCTCTTGTCTGTTCTCTGCGTGATGTGAATCGCACTTGCACACTTCAGTTGAAGTTAACATTGGCTACCGTTCAATCTGCCGTTCTTCCCAATTGCATTTTGGTAGCGATTGACCCTTGTCCGAAATGTCTAGTTTTCCAAAGACCTGAGGCTGACCACTGATTTCATAGCGCTTCTGCGTACAGAATGATCGCGCGTCCGTCACTCCGGCGCCCACTGCCCTTTTCGAATGCTTCTTCAAATCTGATTATGTCAACTTAACGTAATTTAGAACTTAGAAAATCAATATGAAACAGACTTCGACGGTGGCATTAAGTCGCCTATCCGAATATAAGCAGCATCCCTTTAAGATAATTTTTAAGTGATAGCCTCTAAGTTAAGTTAAGTTGCCATAATCAGACTATATGGTAAAATCATTTCCGTCAGTCGGAATTCCGGTTTGTATACGCCAGACAATGAAGCCAGGGTGCCCTATGTTGGAATTGGTTTTATGAAAGCAGTATACATCTAAATCACAAGTTTAGGTTTTCATCCCAGTTTTTACTGAAGATTCTCTTTCAGGTGTACTTAGTATGCTGGCTCCCACCAACTGCCTTATACATTGGATACTTGGCGCTGGACCACATTGAAAGTATATATACGGTGGTTTTTATTGTGGTATTTTGTACCTGTTTGTCTTGCCTGTGTTTACAGTTAGACCACTTCTCGTGGCCCAAGCATGTCACTTTGACAGGGTTCTTGTGTCCTCCTCGCTAACGTTTAAAAGGAACGATAACATCATCCGCATATACTATAACTTTGAGGATCCCCCTGTTTGGTCCCATGCCGTTTAGTGCTACTAAACATGAGCAGGAGTCTCTCAGGCCTACGTTCACGTCATTGAACTATGTCTGAGTCAGTATGTAGAAATTAAAGCAACCAATAAATATGTACATCTACATACACTCAGACAGAAGAGCGCCACTTCTCGCTCTTAAAGCGAACGAGGTCACCCCAAAGCCGGAGTGAGACTGTCTTAAGATGTGAATACTTATCGCCTCCACGAACCGGATATACCTCATATGGGTACCGGGACATAGTGGAGTCCTGGAAAATGAATTGGCAGATATTCTCGCCCGAAAAGGGGCTGCATAGGGATTCATAGGCCCAGTACTCTTACTGGTTTGCCATGGAACTTAATTAGGCGAAACCACTGTATCTGGATGCAGAAGGAAGCGCAACATTACTGGACAAATACGGAAGGTAACAGAGAGCTCAAGTCCTTCATTCCGGATATATTAGCAGCGAGAATCGAAGAACTCCATTGTCATTGTGCCATTGTGAAACCCTCACCAGGACCAGACTTCGCTTCTTAGGATTACCGTACCTAGAAGCACACGACCTAAATGGTATTGAGCCAAAGACCTTGCGAGGTTTCTTAGCAATACGTGGATCAAAGATGACCTTAGTTAAATAGAGGTTTGTTACAGTAGATCGTTTCGGTCGAGGTAACTAGGTGACCTGCTCGCTCCTCTTAATCTAATCTAATCTAATCTAATCTAATCTAATCTACATATCTACATGCATATCTTCGTTTAAAGTACAACACCGTGTATCAACAAAATACAAAACCGCGTATGTGAGGTTGCATAAATAATTTCCTAGAGAGTAAAAACACTCATATTTCGAAATGGTTCTCTTTTTTTATTACCTTCCTTTTATTAGCTCGGCATGTAACTATGTAATATTGATGCGCCTAAAAGATGCAGCGATTTCTATTCTCAAGTTACATACCTGATGACAGTACGAATGGCAATTATAATAGGGAGGTTTTAGTTTTTTAAACTATAATTTTATTTATAAAGCAATCGCATTTCTGGCAAGTATATTTCAGAACGAATGGATAAGGATTGAGCCAAGAGCTTGTTTGAGCGAATCCAATTTTTGGCAGCAAATGTCAGTTACGCGGTTTTGCAAAATGACGATACGCGTTTTTGTACTTTAAACGACGATATATACAATTGAACGTCCACATTGAACATTACGAAGGTTTAAATTTTCGCGCATTTTGACTCCGGAAAAGCTCACAATTTACTTATAAATAAATACTTACCATGTGAATATCTATTATAAATAAATATTTGTGTTTTAATTCTTGAATGTCTTTGGGCTTATTAATTAGGTCGTAGTATGTATGTATGTATATATGTACATATGTATGCATGCATAACGAAATTCTTCTTTTTCTTGCTTACTTCTTAAACAATAATTAACGAGAGTTATCGCTAACAAGTGCAAATGATAAAATCTTATCTCTTCCTAACAAAGCAATTTTACGAGCAACTTTTACACTTGTACTTGCGCTTATGTATGTATGTGCCCATAGAGTGACTCAAACAAGTGTTCACATGTTGGCGTTTTTGAACCGGATTCTCAGATAGGGTGTTTTTCAACCAAATTCTGGAATAAGGCGTTGTTCAGAAGTTTTCTGAGATAGAGCGATCTTCTAATTAGGTGTCGATATGAAAAAGCCGTAAAAGTCGTCAGCAAACAAATTTTAAAAACAACGCGTTTTTTTTTAATTCTGAAAAAAAGCTTAGAAGTTTTGATGAAAATTAAGATTTCTAATTCTAAAAAAATTACAAACAAATTTTAACTTGAAAAACATTGTGAATATTAAACATAAATTAGCATGTGAACACTTGTTTGAGTCACTGTATGTGTATCTACATCCGTATGTACATATGTATGTTCGCATGTGTATAATATAAACCCACATCTTATGTACTAAAGTCAGCGGTGAACTAACTAAATAAAACACAACCGGCCATTTTCAAATCTTATCGCCTTAAAGAGCACTCATCGTCCCCTACTCCCGCCTCATAAAAATATCCGTACACTGATATTATGCAAGTATATTCAATTAAATTTTTCCTTAACTAAATATGTATGTATGTAACACAAAAGTGCTCATAGTACCCACCATCAACCGCCTTCCTCAATAAGCACTCTCATGCTTCTTTGTTACCTCATTGAAGTGCGAATAACTTAATAACCAATGAAACCAGGCCAACAGTCAGCGACGGCAAACGGGTGTGATGTTGTGCTCGAGTTGTGTTGCAATTTTTGTTATTGTTCGCGCAAAGAGGCGAAAATTACAAATTAACACCTCCGCTAAATGGTTGCCTACAAAAAGTAGTACACACATAACTAAAAAGCGAAACACAAATAATATCGTGGAAAAATGGAAGAGAAAGAAAGAGCGTAAAAAGTGCAAAAATTGTAAAAAAAAAGAAATAGTAATAGTGGGCTGTGTAGAATTCGCACCAGTTGAATGCAGTAGCAAACGCAGCCGCATAAAAATCAGAGCTACCCATTTCACTTTAATTATTAAATTTAATTTGCGTCCATTTGTTGCTCATTATTTCAGCAGTAAATGCCGAAGTCGACGCTGGAAGTTGGTGATAGTAACGGCACTGGTGTTAACTTTGGAAAAAATACTAAACACAGACATTCATATATTCGTAAATACATATGTAAATGTAATGTAATATTATTGGGTGCATCAGAACCAAGGGACACCGCGACCTAGATGAGGGTTCCTTACCCGGTCGCCTAAGATGTTATTAGCCTCCTTTATAAGAGCTAAAAGTTTCTTGGTAGAAGAATTCCTGACGTTGAGGCTATCGACTGAGGAAGCACTGAAATATTGCAGCCCTAGTCTGGCTAATGCCGGGGACAATCACACATAATGTGCTCCGAAGACTCCTCGTCTTCAAGGCAAAAATTGAAATCCGTCTCGATGTAGAGACCAATCCTCAAGAGATTTATATATTTTCTAGCAAAAGGATAACCTACAATTCTGGCCTACCACTCCCAATGAGAGTAGCTAAGGGTCAAATAAGTCCACAAAACGGTTCCGGATCCGCAATTACAGACGATGAGCCTGCCGTTGCCTTGCTCTTCGTTGGCGGCCTCATTATATACAATTGCGCAGTGTCCTGGTGCCCAGCATAATAAT